ATCTTAAAATATGAAATTCAGAATTCTTTTCACCTTTAAACGTTCATTCTTGATTCGTAAACGGACATGATATCGAAGTCTACAAACACATAGTTGCATAATTTAGCCTATAATTAACCTCAATGCATCATTTTGCAGTAAATTTGTGTCTGTAACAGCTGTTAGAGATAAAGAGTAAGTACGAAGTTAAATCAGCAGCTGGTAGTGAATTGTAAAAGAAATTATGAAAGTTTGTTTATGTATAACTAATATTAATGAAATAAACCATTGGCATCCTGCTGATGGGTTTAGAAAATATTACGTTCTTAATTACAGCATTTATTGTGATAGGAACCGGTTTTAATTTTAGTTCACATTGTTCATTTTTAGCTTGCTGATGGAAGGATGATAAGTTTAAAAGAATAAGAACTTGCTTAAAATTAAATCATATAATTACGGGTTAAGGGCATACTAACCTTGGAATAATAGATTTGTATAGTAATAAAGTTACCATTCATTATGGTTAATAATCTATTATATACAGCATAATCAAATTTTACTGGAAAAGTCTATTTGACAGATAAAAGAGAAATAAGATGACTAGATAGCGCTATCATTAAATAAATGCGATCAAGTTTTCAATTGTTCACAGATTGTGATAGAGTGACTTTGTTGGTTGGCATTATTGTTAGCCAACATACTGAAAGGCCGCCAGTAACTTTATCTATTGTCTATCAATCAAGCTTATAGTTATTGGCTATTATTTATATCACAGTGGGATGTATCATTTATTGCTAACATAGCACCTGTATAAAATTAAAATAGTATTCGTATAATCACTTATTATTTCAATTAGATTAATCTATTTACTGACAATTAAGATAACCTTAAATGCTTCGTATTAAAATTATTGAGAAATAATAACTCTTAATAGGGGGTAAGTTCTAATTAAAGCTATCTTTCCGTTCAAAATAATTTCATTATCATGAAACTATTCTCTGTTTCAAATTAGAGATGCTTTAAATAAAATTGGTGAATCATCCATTTAAAGTCAATTAAAGTATAATTTAGTTCCTTTTGGTGCAATCATTTTTCTGCTATATCTCATGAAATAAAAACAATCGCAGTGATTCGCTTTTATGTAGAAAATATCTATTACCGGTATGCATCAATCATTATGTTGGAAGCGTAGTACCTTTTGCGTATCACCAATTGCATAGCAAAGAAACAAATTAATTATTAGGAAGCCTGCCTTCCTTCATTCTACTATCCTTGAGAGGATCTATTTAAACTAACTAATGTTAATTTGCTTCATAAGTAGCCTTACTTTGTAAGGTTAATTGTCCTTTGGTAACAAATTATTGCTCTTAAATGATCATTTGAACGTTTGTTTTCGTTACTGTCCCGTTAATTAATCATATACATAATATAATCATATCGGCTATGTATTCCAGGTTGTTCAAACAATGCATTGTACTTTTAAGGATAGAAGTTTTAATCTTGTAGCCTACAGGCTTAGCTTATGCGAATATATATTCTGTACTAGTAGATATATAGGAAATGAAACTGACAACTATGAAAATGTAAATAAAATAAGCTCCATTGAGTCATTTTCCTATCTTGTTATCAGCGGTTAATTCTTACTGATATAATTCATGGAAGTTGATTCTCCTACTTTAAAGTTAATGACTACAAGTTTTGTATGGTTGCAAACTAAGGTATCGGATATTTTTGTCAATACGTAGCAGTTAGACATTGAAATATAATTGATCCCGGTAGTATTAAAAAACCGTTCGTAAAGATTTTCGCAAAAACAAGTTACGTAAATGATTTGAAATTACTGCTTTTGAATTTGCATTATTTGTTTATCAATTAAAATTAGCGGAAATGAATCCACCGTATTAATGCTTTCAGTTAATATAGGTACTAATAGTATAGTATACGTTTTAGTATTTTATTATTGAATTAAATTACGTATAATTATTTACCATTTATGTATTAAATAGTGCAATTTGTGCATTAGGCCATGGCATAGCCTTATTCTATAGTACTATGAAAGTAAAGAGTGGGCGGATGATTGGCTGCCTCGTCACAGTTGCCAGATTTTACGTTTACTTTTTTTCAACTGCACCCTATCAACAGTACCATAATTACCCAAATCTAATAACCCTTTCTAATTTTATAGTCTGTATTCTGATATTGAATAAGGTTAAGTAAATTTAGAAAAATGTTGATAAATTAAAATTTATCGTCAACATGCTACACGAGTTCTGTGATTCTAAAAAAATATTATTCTGATGTAAAGACCTTTAATTTCATGATTATTTTATGACGTGAGCAAAGAGGATTAGCTATTATATCCTTATTTTCCTTCTACTAAGTGGATTCTTGACCATGGTGTTGTAGAAGGCAAAAAATAATAAAGTGGTTGAATTATTTAATTCCTACTTGAACTATTGAAAACTTGAAGAGCTTACTGTTTAATTAAATAATATTAAACATTTACATACAGACTAAACTGAGCTTCGAGCAAAGTCATTGTATAATGGAGCCACTTGCAAATATCAAATACGCTGTACACCTAATTAATTCTATTTTCTTCGCCCAAAACTATCAAAATGTATTTGTTTAATGAACTTTTCGTTGGTAGTCGATTTTACAATCATAATGTATAAAGCAAATTATTAACGGTTATATAAACAAATTTACATTAAGTTATTTGCACAACTAGAGAAAACAACCCACTAGCCGGCTCAATTAAATGCTGAAACAAACTAAAACGAACATGATATTTAATCATTTGCAGTAGGGAATGGAAAATTTTATAATCCCATTGCGAGTGAGACGAAAGTGTCATAACGGTGCTATAAGGAATGATAAGTCTTGATTTACAATGCCAAATTCTTTTCAAAGTTTGAATATTAATGCAAAGAGAGGAAATCTTTAGATTGTTTTTGCTGATAAGTTTAATCATAACAAGTTTTCTTTTTCATTAGGTAAGAGGGAAGTTTTCAGTTTATTTTTCTCCAAAATTGGATTACAATTACATTTTATGAATTAAATCAAAAGTAGTGCTAACCAGAGAAGATTGACGTTGGTCAAAGAATTGAAATGACTAATTTATACTGAAGCAGAATTAAAAGACTGTATAGGATAAAGTCATTTATATAACGAGCAATGATTAATTAATAAAAATAAAATTAATTTTCTAATTGAGTTATAAGAATTGGCGATATAGCATGCGAAACATTTCAGTGTAAAGTACTGTATTATGTGAATGCCAGGCATGTCCATTAATTTTGTCAGTATTAAATGATATCATTTTACTTACATAGAAACTGCATGTTACGATATATGGTATAAAAGTACAATTTATATTCGTTCTTTCCAATGACGGTAATTTTTCTCTTCCGAAAATTGAAATCATTAATTAATCATAAGGATGATAAAGTAATTTCAATAGTGATGATTACCCAAAATACCGATTGCGATAAATACTAATGCCTCTGGAACAGCTAGTCAAGATTATTTTGTTCTTGATATTTGTTCTAGGTAACTTAATAGAAAAATCGCTTTAATAAATTTTGATGCACGATATAGTGTCATGAATACGAATAAAAATGTGGTTTTCAACAATGATTTACCATCATTTAGATTAGTATAAATTGTAAGTGCAGTTGGCTATCAGTCTTATATTTATCCAAGATGGAGGAATGGAATGCATAGTCTCTTACATAGAAATCCAGTCTAGAGTGTAGCAGCCATTGAAATTGTACGTTACTAAAGGAAAAAAATAGTGAATGAATTCAAATAACTATCATCGTTAAAATATTAAGAATTCGATTGTGATCTCTTCCACGATAATAATTCAATAAGAATGTAATCGCAAACAAATGCTGCTAGAAACGGTCTTATCCTTCTTGGATTAATTGGTAGATTTGATATGGTACGCAGCACTTTTCAAGTATGATGTGCCATCATGGCCATTTGGCACTCTTGTAACACATGTGACATCAACAAAGTTATGCTCCTCAATAGGCGGTTTGCACTGAATGCGGCGTAGCAAATTATCAACAGCTTTCTTGATGCTACGATTGAAATAACCATAAATAATTGGATTATAGGCTACAGCTGATAAATTGATTATAATTAATGAATTGGTCACAATTGTTGTATCTGATCTGGGGATTTGGAGAAATCCAAAGTCGAGTAACATGAATACCGCGTAATATGGAAGATTAGTTAGAATAAAGATTAAGCAGCATATAATTAAGAGTTTAACAACGCGCTGTTTTTGCTTTTGTCTTATAGCTCTTTCCTTGACTATAACAGTTTTAACTTTATCACCAGGAGCCTCACCGTACCATAAATGCCGTACAATAATGAAATATAACGTTGCCATAATAATCGATGGAATCAAGAAGGCAATTGGAATAAATAAGCCCCATAAAACAATATTAGATGCCGTGATTAATCGTACAAAATCACCATCGCTATTAGTAATATTAATATCTGCTGGTGATTTAGGATAGATTGGAAAACAGTAGACACGATCATTAATTGTCTGCAACGTCATAATACTTGCATATGGACCAAAGCAAGCAAATGAAACTCCCCAGCTGATTGGTAAAAAGATATACACGCGCGTAAGAGTCATTTTTAAATATTGTTTCATAGGATACATAATAGCAAGATAACGATCAACACAAATTGTTGTTAGCGTAATTGATATACATAAAACACTAGCAGCAGGCAATATCTGTTGGAAACGACACATAGCAAACGATGTTGGTAAAATAAAACTTGCATCTGGATTAAATAATTCATAGATTTTAAAAGGCATCCGCAAAATAGCAATGGCTAAACCAGCCACTGACAGATTACCAACTAATATATTGATCGGTGTCTGTAATTTTTTATTTAATCCCATGGCTAATAAAATTAAAATATTTGCTGGTATGGATACTGCCATAATTATGATGTAAAATGCACCAATTACAACAAAGGCGCTATCTCGGCGAACCGTGTTTATCATATTTGATCCTGTATCTTTTAGCTTTCTCTTCTCTCACCGTCTTTCTTTTTTTTCTTCGTGCTCTCACGTACCGTCTCGATTTTGTAGGCTTTCAAATGGTTTCAAGATCGACTTTATCCTAATGGCTAACGATAACTATAGCCAATTGTCTTGCAATGTGATGTAGGATGTATGTCTAAATGTTAACTTGGGATAATGTTGTGTCATATTATATTTTACTTCGGCTTCAGCCTTACAATCATCAATTGGTTACCTGATGAAGGAGACAATGGTTGATTAGTGATGTTTTGTTCCCTTACGATAAAAGGAAATCAGACGATGGCGATGGTAGTATTGTCGAAAGCAACAATTTAAGTCTGGAGTAGGCAGTTCTCTCTATTCCATTGAAATAGGACATGGCAGTAATGCATTCAATATTATCATGAATGAGGGGGTAAACATGTTGTTCACCTCAGGCGATTTATAACACCGACGCTTAACTACAATGTGTTTGATATGTATCATAGATCAACGATGGAATAGAGGAGATATCATGATTGGTAAGTTTCTGTAACTGTCATTAAATATCCAAACTTCTAATAATTAACATGAATTATAAACAGTGATACAACGATAGATCAACTTCATGATGACACAAAGGGAAAGGATTACTAGAATTACTAATTTAATTGTTCACCATAGTCGCTCTGAGGTAAATTACTCCGAGAGCAGTAAAAAACTATTATAATAGCGCTGATTCTGATCAATGATACGCATAAATTGTATTTGCTGTGGAGCCATCTACTTCACTATAAAGCAGCCAAAATTCAACATTAGGGCAAATAAAAAATATTGAAGTAGAAGTTTGAAAAGAAACAATCCACATTTTTTGTTCATTAATTACGATGAAGCAGCTTTGATACAGTTTTCCTCAATTGAAGTTGGATTGATTTTTAATTGAAAATTGATCGAAAAATTATCGATAGAAGAAGATGTCAAAAAATTATCAAATAATAATTTTATACCAAGTTAGATTTGACAGGATAGAATGATGGCAATAGCAATTCATTCATTTTCGGTAGCTTTTCTGATCGATTTCCGATATAGTAATGAACGAGTAGACAGTTTATAATTTGGATGGGAGGCAAAACAAATATTGATAAGTAGTATAAACAATGAATTAATTTATAACCAACAAATAAGTTGGAAGAAATGAATACTTGATTTTATTTGCTTGTACTATATCAGGGATAAATGATCAATCTCAGTTTAAGTTGAATTGTATTGAATATTGTCTAATTTACTTTATTTTGAGACATTAGTCACAGCCAAAGATGTGAAGTATTATCAGAAATGATCCTATTTCTTTTCGGTCATAAAGCACTGACCGTAAAATTGATATATACAATTTAGAGAATTTAGCAATTGTTGCTAAGTACATAGTTGCTGTCGTTGTTGTATCATCAATGTCCGGTGACTATTAGTCAATACTTCCCTTTTATTACCAGCAACGGCAATCATATAATCGTAATAGAATATCAATATTAGTTACCAAATCAGCATTGAAATGTCTAGCTTTCACGTGTGACCTATTAACTATACGGCTGAAAAACTACTGTGATAAAATCAAAGCATTAGCGAAAATAGTTATTCTTTCAGACTCATTACTATAATCAAAATTTGTTCTTACGGACACGATGCTTTTCATAAGAGTTGGTTAAATAATATTAGGCAATTTAAAGTATAATGACATCATTGTCTCAGTAAGAATGGAGGGAAATTAATTTTATTGCATTTCGTAAAGAATTTTCAATAATTATAATTATTAACAATGCTGACAGTAACAGATGATAGGCTACTCGCTTAAAACTCCTTAGGAACGACTTAAAATACATCAGTTATGCTATTATTTATTTCTTACGGCTTAATTTTAAGGTGTCCTTTGCAGTAGATAAGACTCATTCAGTTTTTGTTGAGTTCTGTTAATTGGTTTTTTATGGGAAGGAATTAGATCCTTGTTGCCTAACTTTTATTCATAAAAAATTAACGTTTAGCAAAATTTCTTATCCGAATCCTAATCCGTCATAAATTGCTATTAAAGCGGCCGACTTTTATTAAAGAAGCTTTATGCTATATCCTAGTTACATATTTTCATCAAGATAAATTCAATATTGATACTAAAGTTTACAATTGTGAAGCTATGGCACCGAAGATATTTACTATGTTTACTTCCACCTTAGATACGGTATTTAATCAGGGTAAATATTTCTATGATTTGAAAACTGTAGGTGAATAAAAGTCATGATATTCTATAAATAGATTTAAGAAGTTAAGAGAAAAAACATTGCTGGAACTAGGATCATTTTTTATATTTAAAAGGGCAAATATGTTATACTTAGATTCTCCATGTTTTTATCTCAAGGCTGGTCAGTGATCAGAGTAGGCTACGACTTTCGATTAAAATTTCTATTAGAAGATAATATCTATGAATGTGATCCTTGTTTAATTTACTACAGGTACAATCGTTATCGGCATTCTTTTCATCAATAGAGTAAGATGTACATAAGCACTTCAATCCAACTATCATATCGATATTAATGGTTCAGAATTCATTTTGTATGGATAGCAGTTAGTGATTAGTGATGCCAAAGATTTAGTAAGCATTTCAATTTTTATGGTTCTATGGCAGTATTTGATTGAATACGTATATTAAATGGTTTAATGGGCCTTCACTTGATGACATATTCTGTCGATATCAAGTACCGAAATGATGTACTTAAACTGTTTGTTTGTTGATCTTCGCTATAATAAAACTCTAGGTTGAATTCAGGCTGTTTTGAAATAGCTACTGTATTTATGTCAGTATTTCCTATCGCTAAATTTTGGGTTATTATCTTTTTCTTATTAGCAATAAATTAGTCTAAAACTTACTTTCCGTGATGTTGTTCCTGAATGTATGACAATTTAAAGAAAGTTACGTTCATCTGGTGATAGATTTCTGCCAAGTAATCTCTGTATCTTATGCAATAATGACTGATAATCCGAATAGATACAGCTTCATAAAGTAGAAATCTGTGATAGATATAGCTAACCGTAGTATTTCGTTTGATTGAAAGCTGCTATAGAATTTTAGTATGACTTAATTTTCATTCTCATAATACAACAGTAAAGCTTTCCTCTTAAATCGAATTATGTTTTTTTTATTTACGTGTTAAACTATGATAAGCTTCATTAGTTATCCAAGATAGGCGAATAAATTTTGTTAAAGACTTTAATTGCTTTTAGCCATACTATTGGTTAAAGTAAAGTTTGGACAATTTTCCATAAATTCTATGCCCTAAAATAGTATGACACACCAGCTATCGCGAAATGATTGATCTGAGTATGGACTATAATGTAGTCAGTGCTTATTTGCCTTATTTTACTACTAGATTTCCTTATTTTTACCTTGGCCCTTTATTAACTTATTTATGGTCCACGGAGCTAACAAACTGTACATGATTATAAAATACAACTGATCGATCTATAAATATGCTAGCTATCAAGTTGAGGTAGTTTATTAAAAAAGTTAAGTTATCGTACTGAAAGGTTACCATAACACAAATAACTACTTATTAACTGATTTAATTTGCTTCATTAAGAGTTAATGAACTTGATCGAGATTCTTATTATATTTATATCAACTAGACCTGATCTTAAACTGTATCCCAAAAGGACTCCAGTCTAATTTAGAAATTACGATGATTAATAATTATGTTCACAATTTGACACAGATGCTTTTCGTCAATGTATTTGAACATCGTAAAGATATATTGTGTGTTTGTTGCCATATATCAGTTTTATATTATGCATGCACTAAAGTTTTCGTATGTGATATATAAACATTCAGAGTTCGAACCCTAAGTGATCACTTGGTAATCAATCTTCAACTGAAATTCAGAAATTTAGATCTTTTAGCGCATCTACTACAGCAGTATTGATGTAATTTATTTATTCTCGTAATCAGAGTAGTTTCGATGAGAACCGAACCCTGTACAGTATTATCTACGGCATGATGTAAGTTGTTCTAAAAAAATTTACAATGGTAACTGTGATAAAGTGATCTTCAAAACAATAAATCAAGAACTACAGTTTCTTGCAAATTTCACTTTATTACAGAAGTTAGGTTCGTCTAACTACCAAGGACTATCTGACTATCTGACAATCTACTTATTACAGCAAAATTCACGATTTATATACGATTAGTTACAGAATGCTTTTACTGTAACAAATCTTATCTTGCCCATTAAGTCGCAATAACAAATTGATAAGTTTATTACCCGAACGCTTTTCCTTTCGTCTTGCCTGTTGCATGATTTACTTGAGATTTCTATCAAATTATGAATAAGATGAATTAACTGAAACTAATATAGTATCTAGTAACTCATACATTGTTAAACTAAAATATTTTTATTGCCAACAGTTATCATTAATACTTAAATTAATAATTTCTACTTCGACACACGCAGTTGTGTAATAATTAATACAATGGATGGAGGATTTGTGTTTTTTGTCCTGTGCAAGTTTCGAAACATTCGTAATATGCCAACACTTGTCAGTACTCATATATCACTTTGCCGGCTAAAATTTATGCAAGTACACGCGGAGGTGCTCTATAAAAGACATTTACCTGATACTGTACATAATAAGTACATTTAAATTATTTTACTATCTTTCCAGATTGCAGTTCATTAAAAATTAAAAAAATTTAATTGCCAAACAGAATTCTTTTAATAAAAAGCGTATCAAGCTGAGCTTAAGACAGATTACAATGATTTAAGTAATATGAACACTCCATATTTACGATACTATGCAATCTATATCTAAAACTAAAATCTTTGATAGCTACTACTACTAATTTTAGAAATTATAATAAAATTTATGTTTACAATATCAGCTATGAATTTTCTTTTGATGATAATTGCGTTATTAGAAAGGTAGATAAAAGGTGGAAGATCTTGCTGAGATTATTTTAACAACTGAACAAATTTCGATCAATTCATTGAAAGGATTAATTATCAGTTTGAATATCAATTAATTTTTCTAACTATTTTGAGATTTAATAGATGCGAAAGGAAGCATTTGTCAGTGATTTCACTTCGATAGTAATTTTATTACAACTTCAATGCTCTATAATTGAAAATTTACTGTAAGAGTTATTAAATTAAATCCTGATAGACATTTTTAGAACATCTTTTGTACATAAAGATTAAGGTTATTGCACATTTACAGGATAATTGTTTGGAACGCTTAAATGACATCAAAATTCACATGCAAATTGATGTCACTAGAGACATAACTATATTACAGGTGAATAATGCACCCACAAGTAACCGCATATTATTGCAATTTGTCTATAAAAAACGCCTAGTATATTATTAGTACTTATCCGATTGATGCGAAGTCTATAATGTTCATAAATGTATTCAAAAGTTTCCTGTACTCAATGCTTATAATCATTGAGTACAGGAAACTTTTAATACTACATGACGCACCCAATAAAAAAATTGGAGTACAACTTAAATACTTTAATTAAATTTTTGGCTCTTACTGAGTAAATACTAAAGATATCTAAAATTTTGGTAATTAAATTAGGGCCACTATGGTAAATGTTACAAATAAAAAAATCTTTCAGTATTTAAAAATTGAACTTTGATTCGCAAAGACAGTGTCAAGAATATGATCGCATTTACCAAGGGTGACTTTCGATTATTAATATTATTTTAATGAATTTATAAGTAATTAAGTTAGTATCAATATTACACTAGCAGTGAACATGAGTATATCTTGATTTTATACGATCACTACAAGCAGAGACATCGTCCTTTTAGTTATAACCTTCACTGAACTAGTTTCGATAAATTGAAATAACATAATTTTTATCTTATTTTGAAATTACTGTCGTAAACAAGCTCTTTGTTCCTTATAAATGCGATCTTATACCAATAACAAGATCCAGAAGTATTTTACAATATACATTTAATTATTTACGAGAAAGTGTTTATCGTTATGATCAGTGTTGGATGAATGTGTTTACTAATAATTTGTTTATATGAAAATTCATTACGTCAAAGTACTTAGTATTTAATGAAATGTCAATAATATTAATGAAGTTATAGTTAAAATACGACTGTTCACAGTGCGTAGAATAGGATATAATTGAAGGCAGAATTTAAGCTTATTGATACTAAAAGAAGTTAGACAATATCACTAATGCGCTATTGTGATGTTAATTTATTGAATTACTATAATTATTAAAAATATTACATGATAGCCAACAAGTAAATAGTTTGCTCTAAAGTTCATGCTTGTTTTTTAAGAAATAGTCTTCATCACAGCATATGACGTCGTAAATTATATTTTTTAAATAGCAATTAGATAGAGTATGGAAGACTTCCAACAAAATGCTTCTAATTGCATGCAAACTACGAAGAGTAATTTCAATCATAGAAGTGTAATTTGTGATTTTTTTAATAATTACATTATCATTACTTTTCCTAAATGTTTTCTTACAATTAATGATTACCATCGTCAAAGCTATAACGATACTGATGAATTCCTATAACGCAAAAAAATTGTGATCTCGATAGTATTCGGTTTATGATAGTATTTTATTATTGATAATAAAGGATTAAGGTCTCCATTATTAATTAAACTAATCACCATGTCAATGTTGTATTGGTAGACAAGTTTACAAAATTAATTTAGTAATGGCACAGATTGTACATAATATATCTACTCGACTTTCGTAACGTCGAGTATGAAACTTGAGATATACCATAGTTAATACATCTATTATAAAATTATATAGTATAAAGCTTAGTAATGGTAACATAATTTTTAATTTATTGTTGAAAAATTATATGCCCTGATGTGGTAATGGGTATAACTTGAATTTGACAATATACATCCATCGTTTTTAGTTGAATAAGGTGTTATCATGCGTCAATGAATGCAAAGCACAGAAAAACAATTTCAAATTAGACGATACTGTTTCAGTTTGTGATACTATAGAATAATCTATTAATATATAAAGCATCAGAGGTATAAAAATATAGATTTTATATGATTCGCAAGTATAAACACGATACTATGTGTTATTCATTGTGTCAAATCTAAATGGATTGCTCAATCTTCGATGTTGCTTTGCAAGATTAAAATTTATACTTATGCATATGCCTATATATCATTGTTAAAATATGTTGTTACATCCAAAAATGACTTTCTGTAATAAATGTGATAAAATGTGAGCAATGAGTACACATTATGGTCGCAAGATCGCGAAAAAGTAATCTAATTCAAAAGAGCAATATTAGTTTTGATTCAAGATGATATTGATTGATATGTAGAGTCTTGTTAGACGGAAGTCTAGTTCGAAATTTAACTCGCATTAAACTTTACTTGATGAATCATTACTAACGTATTGTTAAACATCCGAAGAATATTTGGAATGTCTGAATGATTCAATAGAATAAGAATAAACAGATTCTGTTAAAGTGGTCTCAATGGATGCTCTTTCAGTATTTTTAACTGATTCGGTTACTTTAGGCTTGGTATTTTCTCTAATACATGATTTAGCAGGCTCTCTAGGTGTAGTTTTTAGATAGGTTTCTTTCGGGTTAGTTTTGCCCGGTTGTCTTGGACTATAGCGTTGAGAGTTATTAGGCGCTTGTGAGGTAGCTGTATTGGAACTAACCGTGAAAGTTCGACGACGTCGAGGCGTCAGGCCAACCATATTGCGTATCATAGCATCGACACGGTAGCGAAAACTTTTGTTAAAATAGCCATAAATGATGGGATTATAGGCAATTGCAGATAAATTAACCATAATTAGCGTATTAACTACAATACTAGTATTGGCAACTGTTATAAATCCCATATCTAAAAGCATTATGATGATATAGTATGGTAAATTGGTGGCGATAAAAACGGTGCAGCATGCTATTAAGATTTTAATCACGCGCCGTTTTTGTTTAAGCCTTTTAATTTGATCCCTTAGTGCAATAGTATGTGTTTCATCGCTTGGACCTTTACCAGACCATAGATGTAACACAAGACGGATATAGAGTGTGCTCATGATAATTGAGGGGATTAGAAAAGCAAAAGGTATAAATAAACTCCATATCGCTATCTTGGTTGCTTCAATCGTTCGAGGATATGTTTCGTTGGCGGTAGTTTCATGTATAATAATATCGTTTTGACCTTTTGGATACACTGGTACGCAATAAATATTGCCTTTATAAGGAAACAGTGTTGCATAAGAAGCATAAGCAATAAAACAAGCAAAAGCAACGATCCAACTACAAGGTAAAAAGATATATAACCTAATTAGAGTCATTTTTAAGTGTTGCTTCATTGGATACATAATTGCCATGAAACGATCAACGCAAATTGTAGTTAAAGTTATCGAAATACATAATACGCAAGAAGCTGGTAAAATTTGTTGAAACTGGCACATAGCTGTTGAGTTAGGAAAGAGAAAGCTCGCATCCGGGTTCAATAATTCGTATAGCTTAACAGGGATACGTAAAGTAGCAATAATTAAACTAGCTACTGATAAATTGCATACCAGCATGTTGGTTGGCGATCGTAATTTTTTATCGGTGATAGTAGCAATAATAATTAATAAGTTGGCTGGAATCGAGACGGCCATCATGATGATATAAAAGACAGCGATGATCAAGAAAGCGTTAATAGTTAATTGGTCAGCCATATCGACAATTATCAAAATTCGGTTAAGTGGCAATAAATTAACTTTCAGTCTTTTCCTTAGCTGTGATTCTACTTGTCTATTTCTTTTATTTGCTCGTAGTTATTCGATAGCTTAAATCAATATCTTCCTATGTATGTGTTCATATATATATATATATACATATATCTATGAATTTGAATAGTTAGTTAGTAATGTATACCTACTAATATAATGATAAGCATAGAGTAAAATATCCTTGATTTGTAGTCTTGTCCTTGAAATGGATTTCAATGAAGTAAAATGATTAAGTGATGAAGTATATTAATGTCTAAATCATGTAAGCTTTCTTGGATAACTAACCCTAAAATGATTGCCAATGAAAATTATAAATCATAAACTGATGATATCTGGGTGTTAATCTTAGTATATATTAGTACTTTTAAATTGACAAATAAACAACTTCAGTTACCTGAGGCGATACACAACGAAGTTACCCACATGGTCTTATTCTTAAGAAAACTATTGTTTAATTGAAATATTGCCACTATTGTCCAATTTTAATGACATATTCGTATAATTGAATGATGACTAGATTGTAGTACAAAAGACGAATGTTATTTATCACGCTAGTTTGTTGATTACATTGAAAGTGGATAGTATTCAGTAATGACTATATATTGTTTAGGAGGTAACAATGGTTACAACAGAAGGAATGCCTTATTCAATAATATGTATCCCTGTAGATTCATGTTTTTCTACAAAAAGTCGCATGTGGCGTCAATTCTGACTCTCTTTCACTGATATTCAAATCTTAATTTATTCTAATGTCCTGGATTTCGTCATACACATGATAACTGAAGTATTAAAGAACTATTTCTATATATTCGCCAATATTTCTTATGTCTGTTGAATGATTTTGTAAAGTCTATTTGGGGTAAATCGACAGGGATTACGTAAAATAATAGACTAGAGAGGCTAACAAGATGAGATTTACGTAAATGGATATAACATAATTAATAACTGAGTTTAACTTAACAATTCTATCATAATAGGATGTTATAGTAAGGTTAAAATTGTAACGGAAATCATTAAATATTTCATTGATAGAAAACAGTTAGAATCACTAAAAGTAACGGAAGTAGAAATTCCATCAGCTAATATTTGAATAATTTCAGAAGCAAATGAACTCATTAAATAATTATTACTTTAATATCAGGTGCTTGATCAAGTTTCTAATTGCTAGAATGTAATTTTAATTTCCTAAAATATTTTCAATGGTAATGTAAGAATTATTTATTGTGGGAATTAAATGAAAACGAAGTCAAGTTTACCAGACTTAGGATAGTTAGTAATCATTTTCATCACTAAATTTTAAGTAAGAGCACCTTAGAGGCAAGAGAGTAACCTTGATAAATAAATAATTCACTAAATTTACTGTGATAATGTTATCTATCTATTGCACTCGGTAATTACGGACAAAAAGAACTTCTTGCCTGCCTACCGGTTTCATCAAGGAAGGTCTTCACTAAATAAGATTTTAAGAATGCGTAAAGTAAATTCCCTATTGAAAAATTGATTGCTGAATAAGCAATCGACTTGGTGTTTTATTACAAACTAACAGTACAGGATAGCATGATCGCTATGGGCAAATAATTGGACGAAAATCCAAGGGCATCAAGTTATGAAAATATAATCGTTTACTCTTTTTGGTCGCTTTTTAAATTTTTCTCTTGCATAATATGGAAATGATTTCTATTTGTCTAAGATCCGATCTCGACTTGAAGGAAATTAGAAATATGAGTTGCAATAAGTACTACTGTATGTAAATCATAAATTATATATTATCATTGTCCACTAATATTGTATTTAATATAACCTTCTTCCTAATTGCTTTCTTTAGTCATGATAATACAAACGTTATCATAATGAAGATTTATTAATTTTTTAAATTATGAAGCCTTGAAAGAGTATTAAGCTTCAAGGGTAATCATATATTGCAATTAAAACCACAGTCTGTATAAATTTTATTGTTTCATATTTTAACACAAAATTTAATCTATAATTTACACCATGCAAAGGAATAAGAAAGGTAGAAAATGTTTTGGTAATCCTTAGCATAATTTATTTTGTAGTTTATCTCACTGATGCGATTGGAATTACTTGTAATTGCTGCCAATTACAAGAATAACTCGAATTTCAGTTATCTCTTCTATTGAAATATATATGATAATGATTTACTTTATAGTTAGTAGACAATTACTGAAGTAGCCCTTTCATCTTATTTAATCCAAAAGAATGCATGATAAAATGGCACTCATACATTAATTACTAAAGAAATTTTATTTACCTCTTTTATAAAACACAAAAAATAATATAGTTATTGCATTACTATTCACTTGTATTTCAATTTTATTTTTCTATCTTATACGGAAATTAAAATGTCTATGGTCATTATTATTCGATATCTATGCGTTGAGCCCTATTTCAATTCCAAAAGTGCTATAAACTTTCTATGAAATTGAACATTTAACTCAGCATTATTACTGATTTCTACTACTAATAACATGTTCATTTTACATCATTTTACTCGCTTAATTAATATAATCTTCTTACTACGTCATTGATCGCCTAAATCAGCACTCATAGCAGACAGGCTATACTGTAATCCTAATTGAATGGTATCCTTTAATATAATTTCTTTCCTTGACTTCCGTTTACGTCATTACAGTCGTCAGTCTACCGCATAGTTCGTATGATTAAAATACTCTATGTCAATTTTGAGATTTTTGGTGTGTTTCAGACGTAAGATGATCTTAATCCTATACAGTATTGTTGGTTTCTTTTCCAAACTTCAGACTCTAGTAATGAATCATTTTATCAATATTCCAGGATGCAGTATGACTTGTAATCAGATTATTACTGTACTTTTCGCTTACTTTTAGAAAAAGGTAAGGTAGCCACAGATGGGTTATCATCTGTAGGAAAACGACAACATATGCCCCTAAGTGAAATATCTTACGCAGCTGCTAACTGTTGCTAGGGTAGTGTACAGTAATCCATGCTGTAATTTTTAATCTACAGTGATTAAACTGAGAATTAATTTTTTTAACAAATTCGTTTTCTTTTCACCAGCGCTATCTTAATATGTTTTTGATACCGTACTATTTATTAACATTAGACTTTACCTTACGTAACCAGTCCATACTTTAGAATAGATTGTTTTTTATAACAAAAGTACATTTACCTTTGTGTTAAAGTATTTCTATCTCAATAATTATACATCCCTAAAAATTGTATTTCAGCAGTAATGTAATGAAATTTTAATAAAATTAATAACGAATTCATTAATTAAAATTAGTCGCAAGCAACATATACCAAGGATGGTTTCTTACAGATGTGAAAAGCTTCTTCCATTCGTCTTGATTTCTAATTAATTCTTCAGCTGTATTAATTACTTATAAATAGATAACTTTATAACGGAATGTGCTAAGGTCAAGGTTCTAATTAAAAAATGACTATTCTGCTAGAGCGCATGCTTATGATCAAATCCTGTGGGATATGAAAAGTAGTCTAATATTATGTTCGATGCAGGTGTTGAACTTTCTATACAATTAGCAGCATAAAATTTATATAAATAGAATGCAGACGACCATAACCCATTAATAAAATCTATTTGTATAAATATAATCGGCTAATGTATAGGAGCAACCGTTATGTACTACATTATAAATTATTTTGCCTTTAGTTTCAATTTTAATACAGACTATGGAGACTAGTCAGATCTTATTTCAATAGCCATGAAATACTTTAGTGCCGTAATACGTAGCTTTCATCCATCCTTTAACTGAGATTGCATCCTTATCATCGCTTAATTCTATCATAATGTTATTATCGCAAGTTGATATTTTTGGAATCAAATAGATCTGAAGTATACGCCTTAGCACTGGAAATCAGCTAGGGTGAGGAAGGTAAATATAATTTTACCATACTAGATAGGGTAGTCTGCAGCTTTAGTTTACTTAAAAAGAGGCATCTTATTCGTACATCATATTATCATTTCTTTATTAAACGCTTAAAATCTTCCCGATTTTAATGAATTGATATCTCATTTTATGTACAGTATAAGATAGAGTATGTAAATTAAAATATGAACTATTAAGTAAAGCTTGTGATTGATGTTAAAGTAGAATGTAGTTTATTTATGATTCATGATTCTTTTGACTTGAAATAATGTTACATTAGCTTTGTATGATAAGAATTATGCAATGATACACTAGTCTTGCACAGCGTTAAATATCTAGTGAAATGAAAGGGTAACAGTGCATGTTCAAGATTGATAACAACCTCAATTTAAAATGGTAACATATAGTATTACTGATAATCTCCAAGCAATCTTAACATTTGCAGGAAATACAAAGCAATATTTAAGATATCTAGCTTGAAAAATGAAAGTTCTATTCTTGAGAGAAAGTAAAGCTAAAGAAATTTTTATTACTACTTAAGAATTTGAGCAGTAACTTGCTTGCACTATCTACCTTAAATAAAATATCTTTCGAAGAAATCAGAATTAAGGATAGTGTTATACCGGTTGTGGTTTAATAAACGTCATATCATTGCGTGCTATAAGCACAGGAAAAAAAAATTACAAGAAATTAGTTAATAAAAATTTAATCAAAAATATCGGGAAATAGTCGAAATTGTGTAGTTCATTGGTTCCTCAGTGGTAAATTAAATTTACTGAAAACATGGATAGTATCCAAATTTAAGCGAAGACGTAATCCAGTAGTCTAGATTTGCACAGTGTGTTGCAATTTTTTGAAGTGTCTTTGTGACAAAGAGACGGAAATCTCCCAGTTAGAAATGGAATGATATCCTTATTCCTACTGATATTTAAATCTTGTCCGGAACATTATTTCAGAGATGATAGCTAAGAATTTTGATCCTGTTTATTTCATTCTTGCTATCGCCTCATTTTAGCTATCAGGATATCGATTTTCAGCTGTATTTCTGAAATAAACAAGATATCTTGATTATAATATATGTGAATAATGCAATTATTTCGGAGTAAGAACTTAGACCATTGAATAGTTGAGACAACAGTGTGTGAATACTGCGCTATTTCACTCGCTTATATGTTAAATACCGGTATTGTTTAAATATAACATTGTGGTGGAAAGAAATTTTTTAGTTGTTCACAATACATTATTCTTGTTTTAGTAGTTTATCGTTTAAATCTAGTATTGCATTGGAATTACTAAGAATCATTTACTGTAGATCCTTGGTCATTATTACCATTAATTTGCACTAAGGCAAGATTTAAGCTTTTAACAACTCAACTGCAAAGATAAAAAGCCTATAGGAAAACATAGTATTTTACATTCCGGAATAAAGTACTGTAAAGTTATGATAAAGCAGACTATGGGCATCGTTTGATTCATATTTTAAGTTTCACTTTATTAATATTTAGTATACTTCAAACTTCTTAATTAAAGCATTTGTTGGATAACTTAAAAATCATCTATTTGTATGATCTACTGATATAGATTTGCTTTGCCAACTTGGAAAGAAAATTTTAATATTATTATTCTTTTGCAAGATAGAAAATTATTGATTCATCCTAAGATATAGCTATAGAATGATGCATTTAACAATCCCAAACTATTAGAAGAATAAGTCTTACGGACACCTAAGATAGTAAATTAAAATCGGTACAAATAGGCATGGAGAAGTACCGTATAGTAGATTTTATACTTAGGAAATCAAAAGTTTATGCATAAATCGTAGTTTTCGAAATAAAATTTATTTCTTGTTGCTATAGTTGAATTACACGTATTAGCATAGTCAACGCGTGCCATACTGTGCTATCGAATTTGCTTCCAGTGACTGGAATTTTTATAACTGTACCATTAATGATGGCCTATCTAAAAAAATTGTACTAAGCGATTAACTAACGAATTCACTTGAAAATTAATTCCTATTTCTACCGTTGATATACACGTATCAACATATTCCATATGTGCTATGCTACGCTGTCGAATTGCTTTGAGCTATTGCAGTTTCTTTAAATGCAGTCTTAATTACGATCCATGTTAAAGGTCTACTAGACGTTTAGCTAACGAATGCACACGGAATCAATTTACTTTTAATCTTAATAACCCAAAATATCGTTGCCTAATATATGTTGATGACCATTATAAAAGTAATGATGTAAATTAAGTAATCGATTAAATATGTTAAACTAGGGTGTAAGAACTGATTGGAGTATTGATGAAGTGGGTACTCAATAAATTACATTAGATATCGATTAGCTCTTAAGCTCTAGTAAATATAGAAATAAAACCAGAAATTTTTAAAGAATTGCATAGCAATTAATGATAAATAACATTACAAGCAAAGACACAGCAGGATATTTTCGGTTACGTTTTACTTACATCGGGTTATTAATTATTTATACGATGAAGGTCCATTAACGACAGACGTCGCTGTCGTAGCACGCATACGTTGAGGCTCTATTCCTACCACTCTACGCAATAGATTCGCTATTGAAATTCGGATACTTGGATTAAAGAACCCGTAAATGACTGGATTATACACAATGCACGATAAATTGATCAATATTAATAGGTTAACTACAAATCCGACGTTTGGAATTACTATTTGACCTAAGTCCAGTAGCATAAATAAGAAATAGTATGGTAAATTAACACCAATAAAAATAACACAACAAGCGATTAATATTCCAACTACTCGACGCTTTTGCTGTAGGCGTCGACGAGTTTCTGAAACTCTTACAGTCGTAATTTTATCTCCAGGACCAGTTCTTGACCATAAGAATCTTGCTGTTATAGAATACAAAACTGTCATTACAGCTGATGGTATAAGAAAAGCAAAAATGATGAAGCAAGCCCACAATGAAACTTTTGTTCCTCGGTAGGTAGCTATAACATATCCGGTGGCATTACGTACGAAAATATCTGCAGGTCCTGGAGGATAAATTGGAAGGCAGTAAACTGCTGGTCCTACTTCAATTGTGGCCATGTAGCTAGCGTACACCCCGAAGCAAGCAAATGATACTATCCAGCTGCATGGTATAAAGATATAGACTTTTCTCAAGCTCAACTTTAGGTGTTGTTTCATTGGATGCATGATTGCAATATAACGATCAACGCAGATTGTCGTTAGAGTTAAAGATATACAAAAAACACTTGCAGATGGCAGAATTTGTTGGAATCGGCACATACCAATCGAATTCCCAAATGGGAAACCTTGTTTTGGGTGGAATAATTCGTAGGTTTTAACTGGCATACGAAATATTGCAATAGCTAAGCTAGCAATAGATAAATTTCCTACCAACAGATTGGTAGGAGATCGCAATTTCTTGTTCAGTGTCATTGTCAGTAAAATTAAGGCATTGGAAGGAATTGATACAACTATTACGATGATATTGAAAATGCCAATAACTTTATTATCATCTACCGCCATTTTTATAGGAAAATATGAATATAATTCTTAACTCAGAGAATTAAAATCGAGAAATAGCTAATGTAAAAAAATAAATCTGTAGCTTAGTATTATTTTGACCAGTTACGGTAAAATATTATAACTACAAGTATTTCAATCCAAAGTAGTTGAAACTTCAATATGGAAAAATAGCAGCTGAAGAACACCCTCTTTATTTCTTGAGATCGAATAAAAAGTGCCACAATGATAGGGCACGTTCACCAGTTGTCGCTGCTAAAAGCAACACGGGATATGATTGAATAAATAATTCAGTATCGTTGTTATGGTTACTATAGGCCGGAACAACAGGTGATATGCCCTCACCATTAGACGGCAAGATGGCATTCGCATTGTATGTAAATAAAGGTGTTGACGCCAATATCATTAACTGAATAAACAAACATACCATAGTCCAACCTAGCGGGTTTTAATGTAAATTAAAATTATAGGTACTAATTACACACTTTATTTTACAGCGTTTATTGCAAAAATTTGCAATTGTTTTTTCTATCTAACGTGGAGTTTATTAATTGAAAGATCGGTAGCAGAAAATCATTTTAATTCAGTTTTTCTTATCCGCATTCTATTTATTTTAGGCGTTAATTAAGAGTATACTACGAGCATGGACATTGGATTATTCAAAAAATATGTCAGATATCAGTAAAGCAGAATACTAAAGACAGTATGATGATTTGCGGTTGCTAATATTGGCTTGGATAGCTCTATCGCAATTTCTCTCATTGGCTTAGTCTATTACATATCGAACACGATTTACTGATACGTGAACTACATTTCTGGGTCGTTATGTAGAGACCCTTATTAATGAAATGCTAACTTACTGCTTACCGCGGAATATACTTGATAGTTACGATAATAATGAAGATAATATACCGATAGCTATATAATTAATGTGATCATAGGGTGGGTTAATGACTTTAGAATGAATACTAATAATCTCATTAAATGTTATGATTGATGTGGATACAGCACATAATGATTCATTATAGATACCTTTGTTATTTTATAATTACAACTCATTTACTTCGATCACTTATTACATTGATAAGAATCTCAAGATTAAATATTATTACACAGCTAGAATATTTTATTGACAAAGGCTTCTAGGTGAAAACAAACTCGCTAAGATCCATGCAGTTATAATTAATCCGATCGATGCCGTCATCAATATAGCCTACTACATCATTGCCATCAAGTCTAGTTCGTCAGTATGACGTAAATAAAATTTTCATGGCGTCGCTGAAGATGGAATTTGCACAATATTAACACTTTAAATATTGAATAGGAATATACAAAGCTTGTATTAATCTGATATTTATTAGGGGAATTAAAGGAATTTCATGTTTTCGATAACATGTACTAACTGTTTATCATAACGACTAGTGTTATTGTAACTAAATACAATAATTCGTTATTTTCGATCATAAGCAATTTCGCTGATTCCATGACCATAACACAAGGCAAATCAGTATTATTGTTATTCCAATGTTGAATACGCAAATGTTGAGGGTTTATTCTTACAATGCAATTACTGTTTTGAGAAAATTAATTTAAGTCTATGTCAACTAGTCATGATGCTTTTCGTGCGTGATTCCAAAATGATATTGCAACAAAACACTAATAACGAAATTTTGAGAATTATTAAATAACCATTGATTAATTTATAACTAATGAAAAGTAAAAATTAAAGATCAATGACTCTAATCGTAATCTGAAGGCATATTGCAAAGGCGTTAATTAGTATATAATACCGTACTTAGATCGGTTTGATTTTAAATAAGTTCATACCTATTGATACGTGATCTAAATATGAGGACTGTAGACTTTTTTAATGCTCCAACCAAATATTTTTCATTTCTATTACTCAATTCCTGTTTCCACCTTATAAATTAACTCGATCGTGGAGGTTAAATAATAAGTTTAATGCTTGTATGAGTAATTAAATGGAAGGAAGCATGCATGACAACTAGTTGATAATAATCAAACATAGACTCTAAACAACATTTTTCGACTACTTTTATCTTTAATGCTGCGCCGAGATTGCTAGACTCATTGTTTAATATCAAAATAGAATTTCTCTTGCAGCATATGAGAACATGGACAAAATCGTTATCTTTAAATTTTGCAGCAAATTTTTCTGGACGTATCTAGATAACAGTTTAATCCACCCTAAATGAAGATACTGGCTAAAAACTTATAGCACATTTACTGTAAAGCTTCGTTATTTTTCTTTTAAACATAAGTAATATAATTGGAACAGCATATGATTTCATTCTAAATATGCCAAGTAACTATTGGAAGTTACAGCATTCATAAACATAAAGTTCAAGATCAATTATGTATTTTCTTGTCAAACATTTTAAAGGATGACTAATCAAGAAGTAAGTAAATATGTTATTTGTATACGTACTTCTACTTTGAGCTAAACCTCTGCTTAGGTTAATTAATACAACAATAAGTAATGAATGAACACTTTGAGGGCTATTATGAGTTTAAAGATATTAGAGTGCTTATTATATTGCGCTGAATTACAGTTTTATAGGAAAATAACTTTGAATAGCTAGCAAAGTATGAATCTTGAAGTATGACTATTTAACACTTCTTTAATATATATCTATACAAGAGATACTTTGGTGGTTACTTCATATTAGATACTAGATCTCCTAACGAGCAAAAGTATATGGAACATTAAATCTGATGCATGATAATATCAATTGAAGGTACTGTAGATATACTCTTTTCTACTGTATCCATTCAGTCAATCTTAGAATATTTTAATAATTATTGTAAAAACGCAAAATATTTGCAAGCTGTAGGGGTAGCCCAACATTTAAAAATAGAAAGCCAGATATGTGCTCCATTATGTTCGATTTTCATATTATTAGAGTGAATCAAGACTTTATTGCGGGCGATAGCGATTTCAGTTTTAAATCAACTTACTTTCTCTCTGGTAATAGCTTTAAACTATTCTGCGTCTTTATACATCATTCATTCTTATATGTTAATGTCCTACGATGCGTAAATACCATACAGAAGTAATTTAAAAAGAGTTGCATAACTTTATAGAATTTTTACTTGGAATATTTGCGCCTTAGAATTCTAGAGGTCACATTCTGGTTCGCTATATAAATCGTGAATTTTGCTGTAATAAGTAGATTGTCAGATAGTCAGATAGTCCTTGGTAGTTAGACGAACCTAACTTCTGTAATAAAGTGAAATTTGCAAGAAACTGTAGTTCTTGATTTATTGTTTTGAAGATCACTTTGTCACATGGGCATTTAAAAAGTTCATACGATATAGAATATCATACGATTTGCTGGTAGTATTAGGTTCTCGTGGTATTTCATGACGATGTAAATTCTTTTAAAGCTGGTAATTAATGAGTCTGCTATCGAATTTACAGGTCAATTCTAGCTCTACATAGTAAATGTAAATTTAACCCTATTTATACGTGCTAGCTAACTGTTTTGAATTCATTTAGATAACAATCCTCCTCTTGAATATATAATAGTAATGAAGGTAGAGATAATTCTGTTTGGAGTTCGATGATTTATCAAGTATATTGACGTAAAATTTTCTGTCAGTCGTCTCGGCACCAATATGATCAACAATTGTAAGGTAACTAGCCCAAATTTATCTTGGGATTGTAGTTATGTAAACGAATGTAACAAATGCCCTATTACAGTCTTTAGGAAGTGAACGGATTGACGCTGATGTTATCGTGCTCAATTTCATTTTTAAATTACTACAAATCATTCATCCAACGACTTTGTTTATTTCCGTCATTTTCAAATAATCTCTATTAACAACATCATCTACCGAACCAATTAATTCTAGCTTTGGGCAGTTTGCAAAATGTCCGTCCGTATTGTCATTTTGCAAAGTGCCCGGGCAGTTTGCAAAATGACCGACTTCGCATACGGTTACGTTCATATACATAATATCAAATACTGGTAAATCCAAAATTGACAGTTACTTGCTTCATAATACTAATCGTAATTGTGAAGGTGGGGTTACAAGAATAAAGTATGTGCAATTCAACAATATAAATCTGGCGTATTCAGATATGAAATTTTAATCGATAGCTCTATGGCAGTAATCCGATACGCGAGAAATAATCAATTATACAGACTTATTAAGAAAGGCTCTAGCAATTAACAACAATGTTCACGCGAAATCAGTTAAATGGTAACAGGACTATCTTTAAAGAATAATCTATAAGAAACAATCATGAACGATATTGATTACGGTGATACTATCGTCATTATTTTAATATAAATATTTATCAGATATAATGTCGGATTTTATTGCTTTGTATCTATATAGAGCGAGTTATCATTACATAACAAAACAGACAATAATGTCGATTATATCCGAAATATTACATATGATAGTAATACAAAAAACTATATGCCATAACGGCATAAATACGGTCTTTTACAATACCGTATTATTAGAATAAAGCAGTATTATTCGTATGATCGTAGACATAATATATCATTACTTTACGATAATATTACGCAGTAGATACTATTTTAATTTTTAATAACCGAAGGGGCGGAAATGCTATCGTAGATGAGGTTAGTAAGCAAAGAACAATTGTATTTTCGGAATGAATCATTACACGTATTTCTATTACTGGAAATTATGCCAGAAGTAGTAATTGTCAAAATAGCGTTGGTTTTTGCAATGTCTGGTTCACCGATTAGTCTTATTTCTATGTATTATAGCATCCTTGAATTAACTTTAATAAGATTCTTATAATTACAGACACTGGTATTTACGTTATGCCTATAGCTCATGATTGCTGCGGTAGTCAATAGTCATAAAACATAAATAGTTTATTCAGTCAAGTTCAAAATTTCAATTCTCTGGAATTGAGAAAGATAGCAAAACTGTTGGCTAAGGTAAAATGTCCGCGTTTTGTTTTATCATATTCAATTTACCAGAAGATCGATTCTAGTTTGGGATGCACATGCATAATAATATTATTCATCAAATAATAATTAAGTCTAGACTCCTTACTTAGGAAAATATACTGATGTTAGACAATCGCATCTTTTATAAAATAATTTCACAATAACATTTATCACTATCGATATCATGTAGGATCAGTCGATATGATTGAGTATTTAACTATGTCGCATTTAATACCTAAAACTAAATTTTCTGCCAGTGGTTTTATGTTCAATTAGCCATGTTACTTCTATATTTTAGGAATAAGATATACAAAGATATTATTTTATTAATAGCTTATTCCTAACCAAGCTAAAATTTACCTTACTTCTAGAACAATTTCACGTCGATCTATAATAAACTGTGTGATATCTGATCGTAACATCCTGCTTCACTCATCCTCAATTAATTTTACTCTGGATATTATACACTATGAAATTATCATAAATAATTAATAACAATTTAGATGGCCTTTAAAATTTAATGGAGATTAAAAGTGATAAAGAAACAACGAATTTGTACGTTGTATAGATGTCAGAATTCAAATATTTGGCATTGTTTTGACGTCGGTAAGCAGTTATATATTAAGACATACTATATTTAGAGTGAGTTTTATGCCTCTTCTATTAAAATTCAATCAGAATAGATGTTGTGGGCGATAAGATGGTATAAAATTTTGGGAGTACCTTTGGCATCGTTTTCTAGTTACAAATAACTGTATCAATAAAGCAGTTATAGAGTTTAAAGGTATTATCATTACACTCTGTACATAAGCACTGGTTACGATGGCGAAAGGATTACCCAATACAAGTGATAGCTGTAGCACATCTGTACCCCAATATTACTATTGCTTTCAACATCGTTTAATATTGCAATATCTATATGCGTGCTTGTCCCTATTGCTTTCAGGTAGATCGAAAACATTCTTCTATAAATGTTCATAACATTAGCACATTTACAACAGATCAATTGCCTCTAATTGCAAAGCAGCTACAGAATTGATGAAGTTAAAATCAACATTCTGTTATTTATGAGCAAAGTTTATATTTAAAGTTACTTCCTGTAATATTTTCAAAGTTTCTTACCATGACTAGCTAAAAATGTTTCAGCCAGTAAGATGATACAGCGTTAGATCTGTTTTGCATGAATCGAATGATTAAAGTAAACTTGAAGATCGATTTCAGATTAAATTTTATTGCTGATATCGATAGATATTTTACTAGGCCATCAATTTAGATTTAATGGTATGTCTACGTAAGAGAAGATATACAGGTATAAATTGCACTTTCAACATTTAAAACTTGGAATAGTAACCGTATTAGAGAATTGATAAGTAATAATGTGGGGATGCTTATAACAAATTTGGCTAGATTAAATAGCTGATCCGCAAGCAAATATTATAAAATAGTTGTTACTTTTCTTAAAAACACTGAGCGATAGGTAAACAATGATAACAATTTGCTAAGATTTTGAATGATCATAGCATTTAATACCATAGCTGACTTTGTGATGATCCAAAAATTGTGTTACAATAGCGTAAACTCGCTTTTATCTGACTATCAAGATAATACAAAAACAATAATCTCTGATAGATCGATTACATTCAGTATGGTAGGATATTTAGATTTGATATGATACTGAGATTTATTGCTAATATAGTGTACAATTAGATGAAGTAAAGAAAAAAATGATAAGATATGTTGCTCACTGGATTGTATCATTTAAATGATATAGGCATGGTTTACTAGTATCATGTTCAGATTTCGTATTGGAAATATCAATTAAACCTAACTTAGCTTGCTCAGTTTTTAATGTGCTATGAAATGTTACTTCTTGGTTTCGACGTAGAATTTGAAAGCGTTGTTTAATCCTGATGCAAGAGAGCCATTTTGGTGCATGCTTACGAAAGCTAGGATTAAAGTAGCCATAAATGATAGGATTGTAAGCTATAGATAAATAGTTTATAGTTTTTAAAACATCGAACAGGATGCTTTGTGACACTCTAGATATATATAAAAGTTGAAAATCAAGAAGCATAGTAACAATATAATATGGGGAATTCAAGATGATGAATGCAACACAGCACGTAATAACTATTTTTACTGCATGCTGTTTTTGTTTAAGGCGATGTATTTCATCAAGATAACGTCTATCACTATGTCTTAAATCACTTGGACTTGTATTATACCATAATTTAAGTATGGTTTTTAAATATAATGTTAACATAATTATTGAGGGGACAAGAAAAACCAATAAATTAAACAGAAGCCATACAAAAAATTTCGATAACTCAAGCCTTATAAAATTTTCATGACCGTTGCTTAAAATGCGGGTAAAATTGATATCGTATGGTGTTTCAGGCCAAAATGGTAAGCAATATATCGTGATATTGGGCTGATAAAGAATATTAAAGCTTGTATATGGTGCAAAAAAGATCAGGGAAATAATCCAACTCATCGCAATAGCGATATAAGTTTTCTTTTTACTTAATTTCCATCCGAATTTTAGAGGATGAACGATAACAATGTAGCGATCAATACATATCGTTGTTAAGGTAATAGATATACACATGATACTTGCTGTAGATATAAGCGCTTGAAATTGACACATAGATTGAGTAAATGGATAACTAATATCAGAATTTAATAGCTCAAATATAATAAACGGTAAGCGTAAGATCCCAACCAAGATGCTAGCCAAGGCTAAATTGCAAACTAGCAAGTTAGTCGATGCCTGGAGATGTCGGTGATGGCTTGTAATCCATAAAATCAATGAATTGCCAGGAATGGAGACGACCATTAAGCCAATATAAACAACACTTAGAAATATTCTAATGGCTCCTAGAGAAGACATTTTCAAAAATTTTGTAGACCGACTTGAACAAATAAAGAACTCAGAGTGACCATCTGATGAAGTTAATAAGATGTGCAAAAAAAAATCGCCGGAAAGTAACAAAAAAGAGTACTAAAATTGTCGAAATAGGCTTTAAAACGGACAATGCTACTGTAATCAATGGTATTTACGATTGAAATATCAGCTAAATATTATTTTAAGGCTCTCTAATATTATTCAAAACAGTTTCAGAATCTTCTGAAGGTAAATCTACGAGAAACTACTTAAAAATAGAACGAAAAATTTACTTAAATTCTAGCATCTAGATTATTTTGGTAAATAGCTGTCAGGCCTTTCATGTTAAAATAACAAAGCATGCAATCTACCCAGTTGACTTTACACTATTTACTGGAATTTTCATCTTTTAACATGCCTTGCCTTGAATAAATTTTTTTTCGATATAATTGATGTCAAATATTATATTAATTATTATGTATGGATGTTTGAACAGTTAGTGGTTCTATCCTATCAGTATGCAATGCCATATAATATAGTCACGGGTAAATATAATTCTGTACACTGGCCTCCCTATTTAGCATAATCATTACTATTATATCCATTGCCATTCGTATTTACTCAATCTTACAATTATCTTGGTACCCCATGATATCACTAATTTTACTTGAATTGATGACACTTATTATGCTGTAAAATTGAATGGAATGATATTAGCTTTATGGGTCACGCTTTTATATCTCAATATTTTATGATAAAAGGTTATGATGAGTAAAGGTTTATATTATCTCACAAACTTTTCAATATTTTCGGGTAGTCAACTTCTTTAATATCATTCCATCAACTTTATTATTCTTCACTCTGGCTATAATAGTCTACCGGCTGTCAATTCGTTCCTTACCGAGACTATATCGAAACAATAAAATAGTAAAGAAAATCAAACATCGTATCGATTTATTGTTCAATTTTATTAATATTCCTGACATCGTCTACCCTTTCTCCAAAGGTTATTTACTTACACGAGACTCTTCTTAGGGTTATTTTATGAATAATTACCAATGATTTAGCTATCATTGAGATGAATATTTTAGGCCTCCAACGAAAGCTAATATCGATTGATTTGAAGGAGCTATCAACTTCTTTTTATTAGGTATTATAATTTCTCATTTCTTATTCATCGCATATCAATTTTACAGCAGCAGCGTTAACTTTATTTCTATCAAAGTAAGAGATATGTTAGCATACTTCATCTTACTTTAACTCCAGTGAGGATACTTTCTCATAATAAAGAAATATCTTTCTTTCTCGATTGAGCTTGTGACATGGACGATACGAGAGGCATGTTTGCTGTTTTTGTATTTTCATACAAAGTCCACGAAAATACCACCGAAATTTATCCTGTAAAGTACAAGGGCCACTTCGGAAAATATTGATTAATTAAAACGATTTATTTTTCCTCTAGCTGTTTATTAATCTCCAATTCTGAGAACGTTCTCACTGAAGAAGTAAACATCGTAACTAATAAATAGACTGATTACTACTAATCTATATTCTTTATATCATTGACTTTTTAGTACACATTGCATAATTATTTCCTATTATCATCATGAATCAAGTTGAATTTCTAATTACTATACGATCTATTTATTAAAATTTGTTTTATTCAGAAAGAACTCATACTCTTCTATAGCTTAGCTAAGTAAAGCATAATTAATTGAATAACTGATGCTCGAGCTAGTTAAGTAAGTTGATTAAATTATATATCGTATGATTAATCTCAGCACCAATGATCGTAGGCGTTTCCAATCAGTTTAAAATATTTCATCCTCTATTATAGCAATTTATATGAAATGTTAATTTAGGCTTTATATAACGCAATGATTTACATTCTCGTATTTGGAAGTAATTTTCACTAAAAGGAATACCAATCTGCAGTATCTATTGATAGTGTGGATAGCACAAATAGATTAATAAAGTCAAAGATTATTAATTATTTAGGATAAGACAACCTTGGTTAAGATATATTCAGAAGTTTACAGTCTTTGCAAGTTCAAGGTGCAATGTGTTATAATTTTAACAAATCATCGGTAGCAGTCTTTGTATTCAAGCTAACACTCAGCACTCCTAGCTACGAGCATGCTACCATTGATCCGTAACCAACTCAACCTGGATATCATCTTGTATAGTACTATGAACAGCTGTCGAAGGACGGAATATTTTTAAAAGTTACAGTCAAATTGCAATCTACAGGCATTATGACATTAGCGATTGTTAAACTTGCAACATAAGAAATTATTATCAAGTACGCTGTTCAATACACAATTCTTATGATTGAAATTTGCAGCATCTTGTGGTGTAGTCCCAGATTTTGCTAAGATTAAGATTTACTAGTGCAAACTCCCGTCGCTTTACTGACGGTTTACGATAATGTGCTCATTTAACAGAGGTTCAGTAACTTTATACCGTACCGTGTAGACCTGTCAGAGGTTCAGTAACTTTATATCGTGTACTGTGTACAGTACTGTACTGTACTGTAATGTACTAGCAATTCCATTGAGATATTTATATTGAAATTGTAAGACATAAATAGATAGCGCTGAACATGTAAGAATTGTAAAATTTGCATTGTGATATATTACTTAGAAGATTGAATTATGAATTGATGGCACGATGGTAGATTAGATCTAATCATGAGACTTAACTGACAAGATATGATTGTATAGAGGAAAAATCGTTCTGCATTAATTTAATATAGATTGTGAATGTTACTGTAATAATCTAGATCGCGTTATTGTAGCTAGATGATCCATGGTTGCTCTCAGAAGAACTTATGTAATAAAAAGAAGTTAATAAGAAATTATAGTTTTTATTTTATTACTTTGACGATTCCCTATTGCGTACCTACTTTCCAAGTATGTTTCCCTTAAAGAGATTAAATATGTTTAACTTCTTTGAAATATGAATCTTGCCATTGTATCTACTGTACTTTGATATAGACGTAGAATCTTTATTTTAAACATTTTAGATAGCAATTTACTTAGTAGTAAGACGGTATCTCGTAGTGAATGTCATTATCTTGTCTATTATTGCTATTTAGAGCAAATTGTAGAAATATGCTCTTTAGTTAAAAGATTATGTGCATGCTGAATTCTAATAGGTACCGTATAGTATACCTATATAGAGATTGTAATTTTCTATTATTTGACTCAATACAGTCAATGGTAGAAATATTTAAATCCTAAAAGAGCTATGTCAAAGAATATCCCACACATTGACACTGTAGATTCTTTGTAAACATGCTAGAGTATATTTTAAACGGGACTTACATATATGGTATAAAGAGCAAGCTCATCTGAACTTGTAAAAGAATATCGCCTACAGAATATTACTGTATCTGAAGGGAGTAAGAGAATAGGATTTCACTTTATATGGTATCAAGTTACTCTTTTGACTGCAGATATTATAAAGGATCCAACAATGGAATTACTTCCTGCCGTAAACCATTATATGTTATAATAAAGTAATTATTTACGCTTTGTTAACTATGTATATCAGCAATATATATAAGCTAGTTGTATCTGAATTTTCCTCGTAAATTTTTATAGATTCTTCTCTATATGTGGTCCTAGCAAATACGTTACAGCAAGTGCTGGTTTCTCATATTCCAAAGTATCGGAAACTAGATCGAGGGCATATTTTAGTTTCGAAACTAGTTTTTCTACTAATTTTGGCAGGTTTAATTCATACATATTTTGCTTTAGTATGTTATGTGATTGGTTGATGAAATCATTTAAGAGTGTACTTATCTTTCGAGCTACTGCATATATACAATATTTTCAATAGATTACTCAATTATGGTCTAACATATAATTATTAAATTAATTATGTATTAATGTAGTTATCTTGAACCTTTATTTGATATAGGAGGTGGATAGTATCAATTCAAGTAATATACTAATGAAGATCTATAGCAGATTGGATCTATTTCTTAAACTATTGACCTGTTCTGAGTACGAATGTTCCTGGAATGACCGCTCGATATAATTTGCAGTTGAATATAGCAAATTTGCAAAACAGTAAGCTAAAATTCTCTCTTAATTCGAGACGATAGTAACACATTATGTACATCAAAATGTTATTTGCACTGTACTAATATAAATTGCACAATCGCCATTGCCTAAAACAGGCTTATATGTTGTATCTGCGCAGATCATGCCCTTTCCCATATATGAAAGGGAAATTTAAAATGAACAACTGTCTTATTAGCATCATTATTACTGCAAGTAACTACCTAAACGCAGTAGTAACCAGTAAATGAAATGCGTAATTAAATATGATTCAGTAAGAACATTAAGCTAGTAATCAGGCTTATTTTTGATTGAGCACTGACCAAATGCATTTTTAACTAATTTTCTACGCTTTAAAGAGAGGTTTTCTGATTTGAGAGCCAGCTAATCAAGCAATGAGTAGATTATTTATGGTTTAGTTTTTTGTCTTTATTATCGTTTAAGTAGTTAGATGATAACATCGTATGATGTTAAAGATAAAAGCCATGCCTAAAGCAGACATATACGTACACTATATAAGTTAGTGGCCTAGAATTCGGCTTATAAATGACTGTTTCAATGGACAGTTTATTCTATGAAATTGCAAAGATAAATTATGTTTACACTGTGTATTTTTTACAACACTAGATTACTGTGCTGAGTAGCTATTAAATGAGGCAAAGTAAACGTACTTGTGCCGGATTGCCTAGTTAAAAAAATATTTCTAACAACTATTTATATTTCGTTACAAAAAACTAGTAATATTGATACGTTTATATGTTATTTTGTAGCTAGAGTAAAAAACTGTCTTAAACTGATTTACATTTATCCTTCTTGTGTAGTCAAATTTAACACACGAACTGATAAACATTTAATTATATAACTCCTAACAAAAAATAGTACTTCTTAATTTGTTTACTTGCACAGAAGGTAGTAGTTAAAGATTTAAAAAAGTTTCTGTTAATCTTTATAATGAAAATATTGCGGTTATTAATTAATTACTAGTGATAATCTAGCTTTTTACTTCACAAATATTCAGATTTACTACAATTATGACCAATGACAGATTGCCAACCTTGTAGATCATCGTCATAATTTGCAGACGTCATTGACTATTCCTTTAAATAGGCTTGTCGGAGATATCACTAGAACGATAGTTTGAAAACTTTCTGTGACTAAGCCATGTTGTTAATGATGTGCTTAGCTCTAAACTTTCACAGCAGAACGCTTTAATAAGGTAATTATTCTCCTTATAATATACTATGAATGAATTTGTTCCTGCTGCGTCGTTGTAGATAAATTTGTAATCGTTGTTGATCTTTTAAACGTCAAAACGCTTCCTATATGTTTTAGCCATAAAGGAGTATATTTTCGATAAGTTGTATTGAAATAACCGTAAATAATTGCGTTATAAGCAATACTGGTAAAAAGGAACGCTGCTAAAGTTCGGAAAACAACAAATCGAACATCTGACTGTAAAGTAATAACTCGTAAATCCAGCAACATGTTCAGAGTATAATAAGGTAAGCCTGTAAAGACAAAGAGTGAGCAGCAAGCAATCATAATATTAATAACTCGCTTTCGTTGTTTGACTTTGGCTTTATTACTATCTGAACTGACCATTTTGAAGCTTCCATAACTAGGTTGTATAGTGCTTCTAACTTTCAAAACGGTGATAGAATATAAAAGCGTCATCATAATAGCTGGTATATAAAAAAGAAAGACGACAATAAATATCCAGTACATTACCCTTGAAAATTCCAAATATGAGGTAGGTTCGCCAGTAGTTGCGTTTCGACTAAGAACTATGTCTACTGCCCTATTATCAGGCCAATATGGGATGCAAAAGATTGTGCCAAAATAGTTATATAAAATATTAAAGGTTGCATATGGTATAAATGAGGCTATTGAGACAATCCAAATCGTAGGTATGAGTATATAGGCTTTCAGTGCAGTCATTTTTAGATGATGCTTAACGGGATAAACCACAGCAATAAAACGATCCACGCAAATGATACACAGAGTGCATGTAATGGCCATTATACTTGATAACGGAATCATTTTTTCAAAACGACAAGTTGCCAATGAAAACGGATAGCTACTAAAATTAAAAGACGACCATATTCGAAAAGGTATAGCAAAAATAGCAATAACTAAACCGCCAATTGCTAAATTACTAACGAGTAAATTGGTCGGCGTACGTAATTGTTTATTGCTGAAAGTCATCCATAGTATTAAAGTATTGCCGGGAATAGCAATAATCATAAGGACTATATAAAAAACGCCAAGAAAAATGCTATAACCTATTCTTAGGGACATCCTGGTAACTGTAATAATTTAGAATGGTAATTTTCGAATATGTGCTGCTACTTAAGACCACGGCCAATAAAAATGTGTGATTTAATTGAAAAGAAATTGCACTTTTCTAAGATCACTTGGAATGGAATATAACTTCTTCGTTAATTAAATGTTTCTCGCTCAGATGCAACATATGTCTGTTTTAACAAAGTGACGAAAAAATTGACGATTAATTTATGACTGACAATCGGCAAGGGCCGAGGAATATATTCAATTACGAAACATAATATATATAATAGGATGTAATCTTTTGTTGTATTAGCGCCGGAATGTTGATGGTTACTCATCAAACTTAATTTGCATTCTCATAGTTTTAAGTCGTTAATTGTCATGGTGATTGATTAGTTATTGGTACACAGAATTTATGCGATTCTTTAGAACTACAATTCTATAATTGTCTTGTTGCCGTGATTGTTAATTCAGCCTCTTAGTCTACATGATTCAATTTGTACGCCTATTATCCCTAAATGCTATCTTATTCAAGACGTTTTAATTATTGTTTCGTAAATCTATGCTTGCTATCTTCAAGCTTGTACATGAAACAATCTAAAACTGCTTTTTGTTATTAAAACAATTAGAGATAACACGAACAAAGTGAGAACGAAGGCGTTGAAATTAGCATACAAAGGTCGATCTAGCTATGGATAAATTATCAATTTATTGTTCGTTACTGGTATACTATAAATATAAATTGTAGAAAGGTGTAACGTTAATAATAGCTCTTAACGACCGTTTAAAACATCATTGCAGTAGCTAGCACTTTACCCTAGCTGCAAAACTGTGAAAGGTTATATCCTTTCTTGATAAGGTTCATGCTAAAGTTAGTAGAGAACAATAGCAGTAAAGGCACAATCATAGATCGATAGTAATTAGCAATTTGTAAACAATAGACAGTATCCTAATCAAATAATAGTTAAGATTTCAAAGCTGGATGCCTGACCGAAATTGGTTTCTGACGACATGTTATATGGGCTGGATAAATTAATATTATAATAAACGCTAGTACAATACTGTATTAACGTCATTGCAAGACAAGGGTGGGCAAATCTTTCAATAGGCAAATCGTAGCTAAATTACATTATATTAGTCTTATGTTAACGCAAATAATAGTTAACATTTAAGAGTAGAACGTTTACTCAAAATTGGTTTCTGACGACATATTATTAGCGTATGGGCTGTAACAATAAGCGCTACTACAGTACTGGATTAATGTCATCTCAACACTAGGGTGGGCAAATCATTTAAAGAACAAATTATAGTTCATTTATACGCTCATATACCTTTAACAACAGGCGGAATATTGGAGTATACGTTTCAAATCTATTGATTACGGCTTCATAATTTTATATAAAATTTTTAAAAGACGATATTATAAATCTTTGAAAACTAGTTTAAAATATAGAAATTGAGTATGTCTCGTTGCATCCGATGATTTTAATTCTTGCTTAGTACTTAGGGGAATACTGTATATATGGTAGAGTGGAATACAGCATTTGAATCCGTACTCTTCTAGTATCCGTAATGACTGTACTTCGATTGTTTTCCTGCTTATTATTTCGTTATGAACCACATTACTGGCCTACTACTGTTAAGATTCCCGTGTAGGATATAGACATAGAAAACAGCTGAATTTTATAGAAATGTATCTATGCCAATTTTACCCGTTGAAAGAGGTAGACCATGGCGTTAATATTTAGTACATCTAGAGATAATACGTATACATAAAGTATGACTGTTAACCCCTGGCTACAAATCATTGCTAGAATAGAGCAGATTATTCCTCTATACAAATATCGGCAGGCAATCTGTATGCTTATCTAGGCAAAGTACTTCTTGATGGTTAAATTGAAAGGAAGTTCTAGGAGTCCAATTTAGAATATAGTACGATACTATATCTAAGAAATAACCTATCCAGTGGTAGTAGATATCTATTGATGAAACCGATGATTTAATCTACAAAACATGATCTGTTTTTGAGTGCTGCACTACATATCCATAGATCTCCCTGATGGTAAAATCATCGGCGGTGAAACGGTCATAGCTATCATCACTTATTTCCCACTTCGGAATGCCGGTAAAACGTGAACTGTAAATAGAAACTAATGTAATCATTTGTCATTACCGACATACTATTTACTACAGACCTTATGCGATGTCGTGGTCAGTTGACAAGTCTAATCTAGAAATAGTCGTAGTTTTGCTAATTAATAAAGTGGCTGCATGTATCATCACAATAAGAGGTTATTCATTCATCCAAAATGGTGGTCATTGTGTCTGGCATAGACTCGGAAAGTCTACAGGCACATTTAGCTGCTAGGAAGATTTTATGAAGTATGGTTGTAATAGCCTCATGGCTACTACGTTAGGTTTGTAGTTGAAAGATATTATGGCCTTAGACCAACTTCGATTTCTATGACAGCAGAATGACTGGATAAATGATCGTCAGTCTTTCAACTCTTTTGTTATGGCAGCTATTTCCTGTCCCGTTTCTTCCCTTTTTATAGTAGTTATGTATCAAGGCAAAAATTATAATTACAGTCGTCTCTATGTCTTACGATACATTTGCAGCGCAATTAAAACAGTTCTCCTCGTGCAACTTCCCATTACATACATTTTCATTTTACAATACATGTAGAATTTTTTAACAGCCGTATAGTGTTTTAAAATACTGAATGTAAAGTAACGTATGAGAGCTAAAGATGCCTACTATAGTACTAATCGACAGGCTTGTCTCCTTTGCAAAAAAGGCTAACGCCATAACATTCGCTTTTCTTTCGTATTACGATTCTATACGTTTTAATAGTAGCGTATACCAGCTTTGCTATATTATACTAAGGAAATTTCCCAATTTTTGACGCATTAAAATCTTGAAAATAAATACATTTAACATGCTTAATTTTAACAGTAAGTAAATTGAATCATATTTCATAGAAACTAATCTAGTATTAGGCTTCAAAATTTTCAAAGTGCATCATTATCATCTACTGTAACTACGGTACTCCAAACACTCAATTGAAGGATCATACTACTCTGTGCTGACAACTATCGAATAACTAGACAGTCCATTAACTATCTAACTATCCGACAATAATAAATTATTAGTAGATAGTTAAAATTTTGGCTTCATGAACCAAAGCTATCAGCTAATGATACTGTACACTGTATAGTACTACGTATGTTATGAAACTGATTAACTCTACTCGACCAGTTTCCTACTTACGATGAGTTCTTGCTATGATAGTTGTTGGCTATACAGTAGTTGGATATATCGTTACTTGAAAGACCACTACCTGATAAATAGTTCGATATTCAAGCCTATAGTTGCTCCTTATACTTTTGGCTAACGTAGAGGAAAACAAGAAATTGGATATGTAGCTAGAGTGAAAAATAGGCAACTATACTGTAAAATGAAAGCGGCAGCTTAGATACCTTTACTGCACGCTTATGCATGGGTAGAGTATATAATACTGAGATGCAAAAGTCAAGATGCCACTAAGAGATACACCAGTTTGTTAAAACCATGATTGATCATAATGAAACGTACTATAATGCTGCAGTTTAATGGATAACATTCATCGCTTGTCTCACTAAGGTGGATGGTTGCAATATTTTAACTCGACTGTTATAGAATCGAGTTTACAAGGAATGAAAATAAAATGAGTAAATGACAGTAAGAAATCAGCTTAATGGCCTTAATAAAAGTAATTACTGTATTACTTCATAGGATTACTTTAAAAATCGAAACATTTATAATCAGTGTCAGGGAAATGAACAACATCAATTCATAGATGCAGTATTAGAGATACCAGAAGATCATATAGATGATCAGATTTTACAGTAGGTCGGTTTTTATTCGTGGACTGAGTAATAGATTACACAGAGATAATACAAATTTCTCCCAACACAATACATCATAGAGAGTCAGGATTAAGTACATAGAGGGATATGTCAATGTTAGATACTATACTCGAGATTTATTTACAAAATACAGTAATTGAAGTAAAAGTTGGCTCAATTGAAAATAGTTTTAGCAGATATCATGTCTTTTTTATTTTTAGCTAGTGTGAATTAACAATATTCGACATTTTTCTTGCTTGGTCCATGATCAAGCTAAGTCTTTTATCAACGGCACTGTAGTATTTCTAAATTTTACAGGAGCGATTTCAAAATAGGGACAAATGTAGAAATTGCTTAAAATACATAAAAGTACCTTCCAAAGCATGAAAAAGCATGTAAACGAATTGCACGACCAATTTCTTGCTTCATACTAGTATATTCAAGAGATTAATTGGTAAGCGATACAAACAGACAGAAAAATAAATTTAACGATAACTAATAATTTTATTGCATAATGGCCATGACCGGTTATGTCGCCCATCGGAAAAGATAATTGTTATACTAATTAACAAAGGAATCTTGACAAAGTTTGATTTATCAAGACATGTACAGTATATGAATAGGAGATAATTGATAAAGAAGTGACGACAATAACAACAATAAATAATTGAGGATTATTACTAAGAATGATAGCATGATCAGATGTCTGTACAGGATAAAAATTGACAAGACGAAAGGATCGAACCTTATTATGTTACAGATGACAAGTTTCGACATCCAATTTCACTAATAGGAACGTGCGAATAGCAGTAAAATTTTCTATTAATCACCGCTCTCTTACTTAAACGATAAAATAAAACCAAGACAGCAAGAGATTAAAAAATTAGTCTATTTTTAGATGATGAGTATTGAGATCAAATTACACTAATATGGAAATACGAATAGCAGTAAGAATTTGTATTGACCATCACTCATTTATAATAGCAAAAATTGAGCAAATAGTGCATTTTAGATTGTCAGTATCAAAATTTAAAGAATCTGCTTTTCGTCAACAGCTGAGTTTTAACTTAAATTTTTTTATTTTTTACTTGATGGCATCAACCTGTCTTTAATTTTCCTGCAACTTCGGCAAATTTAATCCCTTCTTCCGTTGTTTTTGCTGATAGCTCAGTAAACTCACTAACGTCTTTGACACGATCTTTCAATTCGATGAAAAGTCCTTGACCTACTTTCCCTTGTAAATCACAGAGTCGATATCATCTACATCATTGCTTTCAAGTTACATCACCCCAAAACTGTTTTTGCTCGATTAGTTGCGCTCGTTCTTGTAAATGTGGTTAAATTGAATAGGAAATATCATACTAACTTCATCTTTATTGGTAAGATCTAAAACATGCTTTTAATATAATTCATCAATCCACGCCAGCTTTAAATCACCTTTGGCGTAAAAACAAATCCCCCAGAATTGACGAATTGTTGTATTATATCCAACGCTTATACCGTTTTAATAGCTTGCACTGTACACTAGGTCCTAAGTTTATGTCGTACATAGCAAGAGTCTAAATTTTGGGTTAGTCGCTAAAGATAAAGTAAAGCCCTAATCTCACACAGTCGATCGTATCATCATATGCCCGTTAATTTATTGGACTTTCGAACATCTTACTATTAGCGTTAATACGACTTATATGTCTTTCTCTACAACCATAAAAGCTAATTGATGCTCTTTAGTAATGTGAAATATTGCTACATACGTGTATAATCGTAGCAATATCGCAAAAGTTGAGATCAAAACTGACAGTTAAAATTTTGAATGATTTCTCCAGGACAGACATAACCTGTTCGTATTTGCCCTGATTATTATATGCAACTTTCATCTTGTTATATGATTTGACAAAATCAGAATAATTGTGATAACGAACTGAGGATTGAATTTTGAGTGATTTCCCTTACATCGAAGAAGCTTCTTCATGCTTGCCTTAATCTAAATACATATTTTATAAATTGTGTACGACGCAGCATCATCGGGATGATAGTGATCAATGAGCGACAATTTAATTTTGAGTGACTTCTCATACATAGAAATAGCCTCTTTATGCTTGTCTTGATGTCTATATGCCTCTCCTATATAGTTGTACGATGCAGCAATATCGGGATGATTATGATCAAAGACTAATAACTGAATTTTGAGTGACTTCTCATGCATAGAAATAGCCTCTTTATGCTTGCCTTGATGTCTATATGCCTCTCCTATGTTATTATACGAATTAGCAATATCGGGATGATTATGATCAAGGGCTAACAATCTAATTTTGAGAGACTTCTCGTACATATGAATAGCTTCTTCATACTTGCCTTGATCTAAGTACAAAATTCCCAGATTGTTGTATAATACTGCAACGTCGAGATGATTGCAGTCAAAGACTGACAATATAATTTTTAGTGACTTCTCATACATAGAAATAGCCTCTTCATGCTTGCCTTGATGTCTATATGCAGCTCCCAGGTTGTTATATGATTTGGCAACATCCGAATGATTAAGGCCGAAGACTAACAATGTTATTTTGAGAGATTTCTCATACATAGAAATAGCTTCTTCATACTTGCCTTGATTATCATACACACTTCCTAGATTGTTATATGATTTGGCAACATCGGGATGCTTGGAACCAAAGACTAACAATGTAATTTTGAGAGATTTCTCATACATAGAAATACTCTCTTTATGCTTGCCTTGTTTATCATACAGATCTCCTAGATTGCTATATAATTTGGCAACATCAGGATGATTACGGCTAAAGATTCGCAATGTAATTTTAAGTGACTTCTTATACATAGAAGTAGCCTCTTCATGTTTACCTTGATTTAAGTAAGCAGCTCCCATATTATTATATGATTTGGCAACATCAGGATGATCATAACCAAAGACTGATAATCTAATTTTGAGAGACTTCTCATATATATAAATAGCCTCATCGTGCTTGCTTTGATGTCTATATACCTCTCCTATGTTGTTATATGATGTAGCAACATCGGGATGGTTATGACCAAAGACTGATAATTGAATTTTGAGTGATTCCTTATACATAGAAATAGCCTCTTCATGCTTGTCTTGATGTCCATATGCAGCTCCCAAGTTGTTATATGATTTGGCAACATCGAAGTGATTATGACCAAAAACTAACAATCTGATTTTGAGAGACTTCTCATAGATAGAAATAGCCTCTTCATGCTTGCCTTGATCTAAATACACATTTCCTAGATTGCTATATGATGTAGCAACATCAGGATGATTATGACCAAAAACTGACAATTGAATATTCAGAGACTTCTCATACATAGAAATAGCCTCTTTATGCTTTCCTTGATTATTATATACTGTTCCAATGTTGTTGTATGATGTAGAAACATTGGGATGATTATGGCCAAAAAGCGATAATTGAATTTTGAGTGACTTCTCATGCATAGAAATAGCCTCTTCATCCTTGCCTTGATGTCTATATGCCTCTCCTATGTTGTTATATGATGTAGCAACGTTGGGATGATTACTACCAAAGACTAATAATCTGATTTTGAGAGACTTCTCATACATATAAACAGCCTCTTCATGTTTGCCTTGATTACCATACACAATTCCTAGATTGTTATATGACGCAGCAACATCGCGATGATTATGACCAAAGGCTGATAATCTAATTTCAAGAGACTTCTTATACAAATAAATAGCCTCTTCATACTTACCTTGATCTAAATATACATTTCCTAGGTTGTTATATGATGCAGCGACATCAGGGTGATTACGATCAAGGACTGACAATCTAATTTTGAGTGATTTCTCACACATAGAAATAGCTTCTTCATGCTTGCCTTGGTTAGAATATGCAGCTCCCATGTTGTTATATGATGTAGCAACACTGGGATGATTATAGCCATAAACTGACAATTGAATTTTGAGTGACTTCTTATACATAGAAATAGCCTCTTCGTGCTTGCCTTGATGTTTATAGACCTCCCCCATATTGTTATATGATGTAGCAATATCGGAATGATTGTGATCAAAGACTGAAAAGTGAATTCTGAGCGACTTCTCATAAATAGAAATAGCCTCTTCATATTTGCCTAGATCTAAATACACACTTCCTAAATCGTTATATGATTTGGCAACATCAGGATGATTATGGCCAAAGACTGACAATTGAATTTTAAGTGACTTTTCAAGCATAGAAATAGCCTCTTCATGTTTGCCTAGATTAAAATATGTAGATCCTATATTGTTATATGATTGAGCAACACTGGAATGACTATAACCAAAGACTGACAATTGAATTTTAAGTGACTTCTCATACATAGAAATAGCTTCTTCATATTTGCCTTGATTGAAACATGCAGCTCCTATGTTGTTATATGATCTAGCAACATCGGAATGATTATGACCAAAAAATGATAAAGTAATTCTAAGAGATTTCTTATACATAAAAATAGCCTCTTCATACTTGCTTTGATTACTGTATACAACTCCCATGTTGTTACATGATGCAGCAACATCAGGGTGATTATGACCAAAGACAGACAATTGAATTTCAAGAGACTTTTCATACATAGAAATGGCTTTGTCATGTTTGCCTAGATTAAAATATGCAGCTCCTATGTTGTTATATGATTTGGCAACATCGGGATGACTATGACCCAAAACTGACAATTGAATTTCGAGAGACTTTTCATGCATAGAAATAGCCTCTTCATACTTGCCTTGATGTCTGTGTGCAACTCCCATGTTGTTATATGACGCAGCAACATCGGGATGATTATGACCAAAAACTGATAATGTAATTTTGAGAGACTTATTATACATAGAAATTGCCTCTTTATTCTTACCTTGATTAAAATATACAACTGCCATGTTGTTATATGATTTAGCAGCATCGGGATGATTATTACCAAAGACTAACAATATAATTTTGAGAGACTTCTCATACATGGAAATAGCTTGTTCATACTTGCCTTGATGTCTATATGCAGCTCCCATATTATTATATGATTTGGCAAGATCGGGGTGATTATGACTAAAGACTGATAAAGTAATTTTGAGAGATTTCTGATACATAGAAATGGCTTCTTCATGCTTACCTTGATCCAAATACACATTTCCTAGATTATTATATGATTTGGCAACATCGAGATGATTATGACCAAAGACTGACAATGCAATTTTAAGAGACTTCTCATACATAGAAATAGCTTCTTCATGCTTGCCTTGATCTAAATACACATTTGCTAGATTGCTGTATGATGCGGCAACATCGGGATGATTGCGATCATGGATTGACAATCTAATTTCGAGTGATTTTTCAAGCATCGAAATAGCCTCTTTATAATTACATTGACTACAGTGAATGATTCCTATCTCTTTATACGAATTAGCGATACTCGTATTACATTCATCTACATGCCCTAATTTTATATTAACCGATTTTATATAACTATTCAATGCTTCATTTAGATGTCCTTCCACTTGCTTAATGTCACCATATCTATGAAAACTTTCAGCGATCATTATTTCATCCTTTAGCTTCTCGCCTATTTCTCGCGCTTTTTCTGCTAATTGTTTAGCCTTCCCGCATTCACTTTGCTGTAAGTATATGCCACTAAGAAGAAGGCAGACATAATATTGAACTCGATCAGGATCAATAATAATTGTAGACATCGCTTGAATTTTGCAGGTATTAAAAACTCGTGTACAATAAATCAAAATATCGCCGATTAAGATTGCCAGATAGATGGAATGTTATTGTCTTTATATATATAATGAATTTATTGCTCGTAACTAAAGGATCGATAATCTATTGAAAAATAAGATGAAAAATAAGTAGGTTGTACATTAGGCTACTTATATAGTGAGCGTATTATACATTTCAACTTTGTAACTGTTTATTCGAATGAAACGAAAATTATGATAAACATTGCAAATAACATCATTTACTGTAAAAATTTCAAATTTGTTATTACTTAAAATTCAATTTTTCTTGTGGTATTCAAAGTAGCATGATAAAATATTACAATAGCAATTTTAATGCGTCAACGAGTCAGAGTTATTTATTTATTTATTTTATTTCGAACCGCTGATGATGCATTACTGTCAAAGTTGTTGTTTATTGCTTATTTAAATGAGTAATTCTATTTGAAGCATTTACTTTACCGTCATGGCGGAATGGCTGTAAAAATATACTGCGGATCTATCTTGCAATATATTTGAAAGAGGAATACTGTTATTAAGTATAGTATATTATTGAACCTCATACCATCAGACAGTATAATAATTCTATAAACCGACTAAGGATAAAATGAAGATTTATCATCCATACAATTGAGGATCCAATTTCGAAAATATCACGTCCTGTACCACAAGTTTTAGCTTTCGCTATACACTGTAAAGCTGTACATGATGAACGCAAACGTATTACATGAGTCGATATTAATTATAGAAATGGAATTATTCGTCACATTAAACTCCTACTAGATAATGGAATGAGAAGTTGAAGACATTTTGAATAGTATAGTGTACTGTAAGTCATTACATGAGTCGATATCAATGACAGAAATGGAATCATTGGTCACATTAAACTCATACTAGATAATGTAATGAGAAGTTGAAGACATTTTGAATAGTACAGTATAGTCACACTAAACTCATACTAGATAATGTAATGAGAAGTTGAAGACATATTGAATAGTATGGTCGCATTAAACTCATACTAGATAATGTAATGCGAACTTGAAGACATTTTGAATAGTATAGTGTACTGCAACTTATTACATGAATCGATATTAATGACAGAAATGGAATCATTGGTCACATTAAACTCATACTAGATAATGTAATGAGATGTTGAAGACATTTTGAATAGTATAGTCGCATTAAACTCATACTAGATAATGTAATGCGAACTTGAAGACATTTTGAATAGTACAGTGTACTGTAAGTTATTACATGAGTCGATATTAATGACAGAAATGGAATCATTAGTCACATTAAACTCATACTAGATAATGTAATGAGAAGTTAAAGACATTTTGAATAGTATTCAGTATCGTCTTCGCTTGACGACTAATAAATTGATACTGTACACTGTACAGTACTGTACAGTAAGTTAATATTGCTGGTGGATGAGATCTCTACAGTACTAACTGCGCTGGTCTACAGTGCAAAGTTGGCAAGAAATCATGGCCGACATTGGCGAAAACGAAAATCTCCTTCAGAAAATACCAGAGAAATAGGTTTTCTACTATGAAAATGTATCAAGTATATCGATCTTATCGAAATTTAAAGTTTCATAGAGTGTATTGACGATTTCTTAGCTCATTTTCATTCAGTTTTCCTGGGTATTTCTTAGTTTAATTACAAAGGAGTTCATAGTCTTTAGTACTGTATGAAAAAAAAGGCTTGAGTTTGAACCCTTGAAGTCGCGCAGCCGCTATCGCAGTTGCTCTTAGACTTATTGTTGCCGTATGGAAACAATAAGTTTATACGATAAGCATTTCAGTTCAATTTACCCGCTACCGTGCACCGTACAGTATGGCACACGGTAGATGGTTATCCGTCCAGTACTGTACAATACACAACATACAGTACAGTACTGTAGAGTATGTACACTTGTACAGTACTGTCCATTGTAACATTGAAGTGTGTTAGAGTAATAGTTTACAGTACTGTACTGTAGATCAATCACTCTGTCTACTGTAGTAGTCGATGATAGTAGTTACGTATTACGATTGCAGCGAAGGAAACTATGGCGGAATTTCTTAGCAACCCCCATGGATTTATTTTGGATAATATCATAGCAACTCTAATAGCCTTATTAATTCGATGGTGTATCTCTTTAAACCCGTACTCAGGTCAAAATGAAATAAATCATTTCATATTCTAGATTAAAGTATAGTATAAAGTAATGCGTCAAAGTGGATGTTTCATTCTCTTACCAGCACTTAGAGTCGACAAATCGCGTTAGCACCATCAGATCGTCGTTTCCACTCATAATCTCCAGCTAATACTATAGATTAGTATATCGACTGCACAAATCCAAGCCTGTGCACCTTCTTCTCTACAATCATGATGAATTGACCCTTAGATTATTTCTATCACCTTCATTCGTGCAGGTGGATAACATGATAATGAATAGTACATTGGAATGAATAAAGGATAGTGATCCATTGAATCCCGGCAATTTTATTCAGCACCACAATACTACTGTGTATTATTCTACTCTTTGCAATGTACTTGTACGTGAATAACGAATTGAAGTGGATGCTCTCCCACTAATTTTTGCTTGTTATTCAATCTATCATGAATAAACTATAGGTAAAGGTAAACCACCGATGTATGGCGACTATGAGGCTCAACGTCATTGGATGGAATTAACGACCAATTTGCCAGTGAAGCAATGGTAATCAATCAATCATATTTATGCTATAACATAGCTGAATAGTTGACATAACTGCAGTGATATGCTTTCGTGCTATCTGTAGTAGAATAGCTGGAGTAAATCAGTAGGTCATAGAAGCTCACTTATGATGCTTAGTATACGAGTACACTTAAATTGGATTGTAGCATAAAGTGCCACAATAAATCTCCATCCAAGCTTTCCAACCGTGTTCATTGCAAACACAGCACACCTTGATGATGATTTATTCTTCAAAGCTGTATGGTCTTACTGTTTCGCCTACGGTGAATTTTCTTACTTTATATTAAATGCTACATTAATAATATGGAGTACATCAATGATTGCAGGTATTTTGAGTCGCCGAATAACAACTTAAGTTATTGGGGTATCGATTATCCACCACTGACAGCTTATCATATGTGGATTTGCGGGCAAATCGCCAAAAGAATTAATCCTATATGGATAGAATTAAATACATCTCATGGTTATGAAAGCTCAAATCATCAGCTGTTTATGCGCTACACAGGTGATACCATTGACTCGTATATCTTACAGCAATAACATAAATGGCTATGATTTGTTTTCTGCTTGCAATTGCTACACTAATTGGAATCAAACCAAATTGGAAATTATTTTGTTGATAATTATCATTATAGTGGTCATGGTGGATTTAATCCTGTATATCATACCGGTATTACTCTTTTGTAATATGGTCTTAGCCAAACGATCAAGGATACTGCGATTCTCTCTATCTTTGTTAATGTTATTACAACCAGCCTCCTTATTAATTGATCACGGCCACTTTCAGTATCCTAACATCAAGTACATACTTATACTCATATACATTATAATTGATCTGAGGTGAACAGTGCTGCCTTCTGACGATATAATCTCCTTTTACGCTCGATAATCTATTGCTAGATACCTCATTTAAATTTTGTACATACTGGTATTTCATCGAGTACTTAATAGGACATTACAAACTATTACGTTACGATATGTAAATACCTTAAGGTAGCCCTTAACCGTCTATCAGATACAATTGCTGCAGCTTGGGTTTGGCATTAATTGCAATTTTATTCATATTTAGAGGCCATGACGTATTTGGTGCATGCGCCTTTTCACTAGCATTAAACTACAAACAAATGGAGTTGTATCATTCCCTTCCATTTTTTTGTTATCTCCTGGGAAAAAGTTTACATTCGTCGAAACCGTTTTTCAAAATTATTACATTAGGAGTAACTGTTATCATCACCTTTGGTGTTTGCTGGTTTCCATTTTTATTCGATACAAATCAAGCCACTCAGCTTGTTAAAAGATTATTTCCGTTCAATAGAGGATTATATGAAGTAAGTTTTATCTTTGAAAAATTGTCTAAGAGTTAATAATAATCTGGTACAACTTTACCACGATATGATAGAACCAAAATTTTTAATAAATATGCTATGGTACATACTCACAATAGGATAAGGTGTCTAATGTTTGGTGTACCGTAAATGTTCTAATAAAACTTCGCCAGATCTTCTCGCAGCAAACTCTTGTCGCCCTCAGGTACGTCGGGTTAACATTGTTAAGTTGTATTTATTTATTTCAAAGATACACAAGTACTGAAATATTGATAACTAAGAGATATAATAGTATACAATAATATTAACCTATTTTCACTACGTAACTATTGAAAATGGACTTGATTAGCTTATTAGCAACTGTTGCGGCTGTCTTACCCTCTTCAATCCATTTGATTATATATCCTTCTCGGCACAGGTTCATACTCGCTTTGGTTAGTACGGTAGAATTAGTTTATAACATTTGTGCCGCAGCTGATAATTGATAATATAACTTGGTATGATGACAATGCATCGTCCAATTAAGCAATTAAATACTTATTTAGGTCAACTCATCTTTGGCGTTCTTTCTTTTCTCTTACCAAGTCCATGAGAAATCTGTACTGCTAGCCTGCATGTATGTAATCAGTACTAATTTATGATTAAGTTTAAGAATCTATCCGTTACATGACTGCTTTGTATTGTAATCGAACCATTACGGAAAGGCCGGCTAGCCTGTTACTGCCGTGGTATCCTGCTGAAAGTGGACTATTTCTCCTTTATGCAACATTTAGGTATTAAATTTTTTTAACCATAGTTTACGGTGTATTGAGATGATATATTTCGATAGTGAATGATTACATATTGTTTTTTAATTACAGTATGGTACCATTGTTAATAAAAGATGGGCTGCTGTTACCATATATTTCCATAATGATGTTATATCTGTACTTATTGTATATAACATTCAGATCTTATTATCAAGTCGGTACTATTCAAAAGTACATGGTAAAGCCAATACAGAAATTTATTAATTAGTTCACAACGGTTATCGCCTTTGGATGTTTAACTAAGTTGATATTGTCGATTTCTTAATAGTATGGAATCTCGATTATGGTTATGTCTTGTCTGCATGGCTACGCAGCTATAGCGATTCCCCCTAGACGATATCCAGATCTGGTTGCAGTCTTGATCTCTGCTATATCATGTTGCTTTTTTACGTTATTCTTTTTGTACTGTAATTATTTACAATTTACAGCTAGTGACGATTTAATAAAGGCATCGGTGACTTCGAAATCGAAATCCGATTGAAAAGTCAATGTTTAGAAATTTTATACTGCAGACAAAACGTTCTCGATCTTACTGTACCAGAAAACCAATATTTGTTAAAACTTGGAGCCAAACATCTACGTGTGCGCTAAATTTTTCAAATTTGATTATAAGCAGATTTTATCGTACTAATGTTTTTATTTATCAAGAATTGAATGCATTCTCGGTTATTAAATGTAATCTTGAATTAGAAAACGCTATAAATTATATTAGTTTGTGTTGTAATAATGTTGATATAAGAAACAAGATAAACAGTTCTGGTTATATTTTTCATAATTTCATTGTATGTCACACCTTCACTGTGTTAGAATTACTAGTAGATATGAATATTTATATGTACTACTTTGGTGTTCCATGGCATGATAATGCTATCAAATTATCATTATTATTCTGACCTCTGCTTGAACTCTCATATGTATTGACCATTTAATTGATGGAATCTTTTTATTTATGTAGCTTAAATTACGATCAGAACTAATACATTCAAACTTATTTTACTTATAATCTACTGTCTTTAGCAGTTATATTTGATTATTCAAAAAATTATCATCCATCTTTATTTGCCACGGTAATCGTCGATAATGCAATTATTATATAATTATCAATGTAATTGTTAGATTGTGAATAATTGAGGCCACCAATAAACTATAATTTACCGTGAGAAGTAAGAAAATGGTAGCTGGTTTTGCCAATTTTTCTAGTGAATAAGTGCAAGAATAAAGTAGGTAATGCTATATTATTTAAGAATTTAGTCGAACATTTACGGCAGTGACAATATTCTTGTTTGAAATTATGTAACACTCGACTATTTTCCAAGTATATTTACCAATCATTTATACTATTCCTAACAAGGCATCGTCAAATGATTTAACTTCAAATTATATGTTAAGATCTACAATCAAAGGTTCTGTTCAAGAATTTTCTTGCAACAATACATCAAAATCTTCATGAATAGCTAAGTCCATTCTCTAGCCATAGCCATATAAAGTATATCCAAATTCAAGGCCCGTCCTATCCTGTACAGTGTAAAATTTACGACTGGATTTCCTTAAATTAGATTGCTGCTCACTATACAGATGCTTTAATTGGTTGAAGCTGAACATACAGCGCAGCAACATACAAAAAACGGACAGAATTATTTTATTTTGTATTATGTAGATTATTCGTATGCGGATACTACGTGATTCCTAAATATATGTACTATGTGCTGTGCATGTACTTGCGGTTGACAAATTGACAAGTACAAACTGCAACCTGTTCATTTCTGCGTTCAGCATATAGTAGACAGTACTGTACACAGCACAATATGGTCATGTAGTAATTATAGGGATTCGCTCACGCCTGGAATCACTGTTACCTCCTACACCAGCATTATCCCTTACTGTACACTGTATACAGCATACGCTATGTCGGAATATTCCGGCACAATTTCATGCAATTTATATTAGCTCTGAATGTCTCGTTGAAATAATGATTGATCATAATGAGACTCGTCAAGATACAGTAGTACAGTATGTGTAATATTGCATATTGCAGTAGTTTCAGCTAATTACAGTAGTAATTGAAGTACGGTAGCATTAAGAAGTAGAATAGTCTAATATGCTTATAAGGTAATTTCATGATTGTTGACGATGAAACGATGTACCTACACTATTCGTACCAAGTGTAGATAAGGCCGCAGTAGACAGCTACGTAAGGCGATGTTTCTTGTGTAATGTCTTTATATAACTGTTAGATAATATGGGATTGTTATTGTGGAAACCAAGTCGATTATCCGGGTTACCTTAGCCACTTTCGACTTTTATTATGGGGGAAGACAAGCGGATTCTTCTCATGTCAGGTGTTCTATTAATAAATGATACTTTTGAGGTTAAACATGGCGTTTACATGATTTCGTGCCACGTTAGAGATTTGCTCAATTTTAAGAAATCAGATTCTGAGTTAGACAATTGCGAACCTAATTATGGGGTTTTAGTAAAACCCCAGCACTACATCAATTTCTTGTTTTCTCTATTTTATCCGAGAGTAAAGGTGTCAAATATCGGCTTGCATATATCAATGATTGAGTTATTCAGCTGCTGTATGACCAACAACTATATTTACTGACATAATGGCAAGAACTCATAGTAAGCAGCAAGCTAGTCGAGTAGATTAAATCAGGTTTGTATCCTACGTAATACTACACAGTGTACTATACAATGCAATTAGCTGATTGTTTATGGAACTAAAATCTGAACTATTAATTATCATTCATTGGATAGTCAGATAGTTAATAGAGGTATCTGTGACTTGGAAATCAAAATCCGATTAAGAAAATTAAGAAAAGTTTATTTTTAGAAATTTTATACTTCAAACAAATTGTACTCGATCTTAGTGTACTGTATAAGAAAACTTATATTTAATGAAAGTTGGAGCCAAACACGGACAAGTGCGATAATTTTTAAAATTTGATTAAAAGAAAATATTATATGCTTGGGCTATAAAATAGACTAGGTTACTTTAATCGAGGGTATATTTTGGCGGGGTATACTCTGGCCTACTACACCGGTTATTGAACGTAGCCTAAAATTGGGAAACGTTGTAAACCATATCATTTTGTATAGTTATAATGTTGATATGGAAGACAAGCTAAATAGTTGCGGGTTTATGTTTTATAGTTTCATGTAAGTCATATCTTCACTGTGTGTTAGAATTACTAGTAGATTTGACTATTTTTATGTACTACTTTGGTGTTCCATGATATGATAATAATGTCATTAAATTATCCTTGTTATAATCCTGATCTCAGTTTTAATTCTTGCACGTGTTGATCATTTAATTGATGGAATTTTTTTTATTTACATAGCTTAAATTACGATCAAAACGAATGCATCCAAATTTATTTAACTTATAATCTATTGTCTTTAGCAGTTAAATTTGATTATTCAAAAAAATTAGCATCCATCTTTATTTGCCACCTTAATCGTCGATAATGCAATTATTATCTATGTAATTGTTAGCTTGTGAATAATTGAGGCCACCAATAAATTATGATTTGCCGTGATAAGTAAGAAAACGGTGACTGCTTTTATAATCTTTTCTAGTTAATAAGTACAACAATGGAATAGGTAATGTTATATTATTAAAGAATTCAATTGAACATTGACACCAGTGATAATATTCTTGTTTGAAATTATACAGCACTCGATTATTTTCTAAATATCTTTACCAGTTTTTTTATGTTATTCCTAGTGAGGAATCATCGAATCATTTAATTTCAAATTGTATATTAAGATCTACGACCAATGATTCTGTTAAAAATTTTCTTACAACGATACATCAAAATCTTCATGATTAGCTAAATTCATTAAATTAAATAAATACTGCCACTACTAAGCAATGCGATCCACATTTCTACAAAGTTTCTGTTGATATCCTAATTTTTACATATATTACGCGTAAATATTTGAAAAAATGAGCGGAAGAAGTTGTTATAAGCGTCATTAGAACCTCATATGAAGATGAAAAACTTTAATGGCCTAAATGAAAATTTTGCATTGTTTTCGTAATGAATGCAGCTAACATCATGATAGATTCTTATTTTATGATAAATTATATATTTATATGCTTGATTGTGCATTTATCCTATCCACAAATAAATGATAGTACCTTACTATCTGTTATGAAATAAAATAAGAAATCATGTTTGTAATAATTTCTGTCTGACAGCATCGATATCGAATTAATAGAAGAGTAGTAGACATAATTACAGTGTAGGTTCCATAGCAAATAGCATTTTGAAAATATGGAAATAAATAATAAAGATATGCATACATGCATAAGGGTACATAATCACACATTTAATTTAAATTATAATCTAAGCTTTGAGTGAAGTACTCCATAATAAGCTTTATCTAAATGTTTTAATCCTTAGCAATGTATTAATAGTGGCGAATACTTATTTGGGTTAGTAATATTGTATTTTATAATGATTACTATTCTGTATAATTCCTATTAAATTAATTGTCTATATCAATTAGATTTGCAAAGGAATTCGTTTTTTCTTTCCCATCGTGAACATAAACACGAGATTGGCTAACTGGCGTTGGCGGAGTCTCACGAGATGAAAGTTTCTTTTCTTCTAAGGGATCAGACTGAATATCAGGAATCGATTTATGTAGTGAATTTCCCTGAGCTAAAGAATCTCTTTTAAGGATTTCATCGATGTTTCGCCTTCCTTTAAGCCACCATGTTTCCATCATGCCTTTGCCCTAATTATTTCATTATTAACAATAAATCTGACTAGCCGATTTAGCTGATATCGTTTAAATACGATTGGATTCACAAAAACAATTCCAACGAAACCACTTTTTATTATGATTAAAAATAGTATGATTCTCGTGCACTTTAATCATTAAACGTATTCAGTGGTAATTAGCATTTAGTTTGCTATTTATTAATGCTATTATTGATTTTACCTTGACATTAATTTGGCCCCTAGATTCCATAATGTAGCATCCAAATGAATCCAAAATTTGACGAGTAACTCCGCTAATCTGTATCTTCAAGGCTAGGTAACAGATTCGATTATGTTATGAATTCGCGCTAGAACAACTAAATTTCTGGCTTTTAAATATTAGATCTACGGTAAATCACTTAACATTTATTATGATATTAATTATAGATAGAGACATTTTAAAAATAAAGTTGAAGTTTCCAATCAAATTTTGATGACTTATAAATGAATCACTAACTGCTCGAGTGTTAACCCTTGACATATTTTACTACTTTTTTGCCATACATTTTGGAATAGAAGGCAGTCTAAAATCAATACGGCAAGTCTATTGATACAAGTTAAATACCTTCTCCAGTAGATTCCATTCTCGATGCAGTATTCACAGTATCACCGAATAAGCAATAACGCGGCATCTTGAGGCCCACTACTCCAGCTACAACGGAGCCTTTAGTTATAAAGTCATAGGAAATTATCGAATTGCCGTAAAGTAAGAGTTAAGTGAGATTTTCTAGCTTATGTGCACTATAGCACTAATATACTACACACTTTAAAAGGTTTTTATAAAACGATATCACAGATCCATTCTATTTAAGTCTGATGATATTTAGCAATATGATGCTACAGTTTTGTTTCTATTATGCTCTAATTTTGTATAATATTAAACTGTAAATAGTATATCATTTACCAGAATGTGTTCCAGCTCGAATACAGAACTTCCATTGTGGCATATGAGGTATAACAAATTGATCGCATACGGCTATTAAATCAAGTGCCATGTTAGCAATCTCACAAGCATGCCTAGCATTCTTTTGTGGTAATCCAGATACAACCATATCTATTATAAAATTTTGTAGAAAGAAGTTATAAACATGGATTCAGCTTTCTGCGATATATCGTATCAAAAATGATTGTTTTTACTATGTCTAAAAATAAGAAATATCAATAAGTGCTTACAAGCATCTCCGATAGTTTCTACTTTATAGACATCATGTCTATCTAAGATATCGTCAAATGTAGTATAAAGTTTGTTTAGCAATGCAACCACTTGTATTGGTGTACTTTGGCTTGCAATAGATGTGAATCCAATAATATCGCTAAAAATAGTTGTTAGTATAATCAATAATTAATTAATTTAAATCGCTTTAGTAATCAATTAGTGCGACAAGTTTCAAGACGAAATTGTTCGCTGAATACCTAAAGAAAATGGTGCATGATTCGTATCCTTGAGCATCAACTCCTTTTCCTTGCCTCAGTTTATCAGCAACAGGCTTAGGAAGCATGCCTCAAATTCAAAAGTATCGATTTGCTAATAATTAGTAGTGCTCAAATAAAATCAGAAAGTAAATTAAACTTACTATATAAAAGACGATCTGTTTTTTGCTTCTCTAACTCTAATTCTTGAGTACGCTCGGCCACTAAAATTTCTAAATCTTTAGAATATTTTTCCATCTATATAAATTAAACGTAATTATACTATCATTAGTTTCTAGATGCACGTTTTAATTTTTCTTGATTTCTAGACTTGGATAAGCGATTTCTACTAAGTTCTTCATCAAATGATAGTAATAGCTTAAATTCTTTGCATAATACCATGCTCATCATAGAGTCTACAGGGCTCATTTTCGAAGGATTGATTTCTACCAGTATTTTTTTGATAGTTTCAAAAGTAGGCCTAGATGCCATATCTTCATCCCAGCAATACTTGATTAGCTGTAAATAATAGTATATTATCATATTTAATCCTGTGATTAAAATTATTCTTTCAAAAATGAAGAAGAGCTTATTGCTAAAACGTGCTTTAAGGTTGGTGTAGTATTGTAGCGATTTGTAAAAGATCTACTTTGAATTCATTAGCGTAATACTATCTAATAACTGACTTCCTGATATTTTGATGGATTAGGACAGAAAGTTTCGCCGCTTCCTCTATCAAGCTCTGGCAAGGGAGGTCTCCAAGTTCCATCATCTTGTGAAGTGTCCTAATTTAAGTTTTATAAAGTTACTATAGTGAATGAGACTTGTCTTCCATACCACCAAATAAAATTATTTGAGTTAAGGAGTTGTAAAGAAAAGCAATCACGATTATAGCTCGTTGATCAAGTAGCCTTAGCCTAATTCAGCAATGCAAACCTCCGCAGTTGGATCTTGTCTAGTTGCAATTTCGATTAATATAATTGCATAGCTAGCAAATGAAAAGTATTGAATTGGTACTTATTAATATAGAAACTCAAGGAAATCGTAATTTGCGATAAAGCTTAGCATTAATGATCAAAATCTAATAAATTGTCATTTCAAATACCTGTAAATATCTGTTGTTGGCTCTGGTGGTGGAAGCTTGTCATAGTGTAGCAATTCTGGAGGTAAATAAACTCTCTCATATCTTCGTTTGGAGTCGCTGTTTTCATATTCATTCATTTCGATATTTTTTATTTTCGTATCCACTTTTCGTAATATTGGTACCCCAAAATCTTATATAACGCGATATAAAATATGAATACTGGTTAGTTTATGCTATTTTGCGGTTAAATGGTTATACCTAAGCATCTAATTATCTAAACCATCAACCGATCGTCATTATATTCGCGTTTTAAAGTAATCTACAAAGTGTAATCTACCTAACTTCACATATAACGATTTAAAATTGACCACGTTAAAACAATCACCTGTTATTTTAATTGTCCATCTGTCGTCAATGCAACAATTTGATGACTTTAAGCGACCATGAAATAACTTTCTAGAATGCAGGTAGGCCATTCCACGTGCAATATCAGCTGCAAAAGATATCCTGAAGGACCAGTTTAGTGGGACATCATCGTTCTGCAATACATCGTATAAACTGCCTTTAGGGCAGTATTCTGTAAGGATGTATACGTATGGAATATCGATAGAAGCACCAACAAATTTACAAAGATTGTTATGTTCTAGTTCCCTATATGACGATAATAAAAATAATTTAGGTTAGGCTTCATTACTATATACGCAATTTCCACTTTTTACTGAGTGAGAAACTCTAAAACAATTTATTTCACGTTTTCGACTAGAATTAAGTTCGGCAATAACATCATTAATTAAGCGAACCGATCAGATAACTTTACGTATTCCTTTTAATTATATCCTAATCTAATATTATTATTAATGGTGGCAATGTAATAACAATGTACCAGCTTAAACTAACGAAAATTATTATTATGGAAGGTATAATTTGTGATGATGGAAATATTTTACGTGCATGAACAGTATACGATTAGGTTGTATAGTTGTTATTGTCAATACTGATTTAAAATTTCTCCAATGAAATTGCATAATAAACAGCTATATTAGGGTACAAATCATTTATAATTACCTCAATTGCCGAACCTCTCTTCTAACATCCATAGTAATACCAAAGGTATTCTTGAGAATTTTCTTGATAGCTACTACTTTACTTTTACTGTAGTAGAACACAAGTAGAAAGACAAATGTGAACTAGTAATTCTATTTTGCAATTTCGATAATTTATATTTTATGGATAGTACCGAATGATCGTTACACAAGGTGGCACAGTCAATTAGCTTAAAAGAATTACTACTATGAGCAGTATTTAAATAATTAAAAATGGATTATTCTTGGTGTATCAAGCTAGTAATTACCATATCAAGTACTTACTAAATGCCTGTTTCAGTGAAAACCTGCACATTTTGACCTTGTAATGAGCCTGGATTAGCCATGCTAGCAAGACTACCTAAAGCATTGCGCACACCAGTATCTAAGTGATGAAACAGTAATATTGATTGGTAAGATTAGAAAAAATATGAAACCCATAAGCAATGTCGGGTAAAATCTTGAAATAGGACAGAGAGAGGTCCTTCAAGTTATTTCTTTAGAAATATTTGGCAGCCTGAACTAGTAAAATTATAATCGAGTTCGTAGACACTATCAACTACGTTACCCGGTCGAATTTCTTCATGATTAATGATCCAACTTTCATCCCAAAACAATTTACGTTTCTGATAATATATCCACTGCAAATACATCGAATAATTATACCAATAGTGATGATAACCATTATCATGCAAAGTAACTACGAAAAAGTTTGCATTATTAAAGTAAAAACTTACCGATATTGCGGCTATGCCACTGACCATCAAGAGAGCACACGGAACAACTATAGCCGCAATTATACTCATACATAGTCCACAATCACTACGGCATGTTTCACCTGGAAATAAATAGTTTTTAAAACCGATAAAAATACTATATAAGCCAGCAGATTTATCAACTCGAACATTATGTCTACATATATTCAGCATTAGATACAATATTTGATACAATACTACGTCACTTACAAGTTTCTGTTCCATTACAGACTCCATCACCGCAAACTTTAATATTAATTAAGATATAAGAAATTAAAAGATATTCATATTTGGCTTTACTTGCTTAATTTAGACCGCATTTACAAACAATAAGTCAAAGAGGTTGCAATCCTATTTTCTTTAGATGCTTATTATAACTACTATTTTATCATAATACTATAAAGTAGATTAGGCAATTACCAGTGCTTGGTAAAACTTCTAACGTTGTATGAAGTGCAATTTGCACTTTGAATATTCGAATATGAGCAATTAATGAAGTATGACCGGCAGTGAATAATGTCAGAGGGAGAGTCCAGTTCTGATGGCTCATGTTATCGACTTTTGATGGTGTATGAGTAAATATACTACCCTGAGGGCCAATCCAGGGCCCACAAATGGTTGCATTTCGAGAGCTTAACTACGAAAGGTGGAAAACAGAATTAAAATAAATGAATATTATTTTACCCATTCACAATCGAAGCACAACAAATTTTCATATAAATCATAATAGCATCATTAAGGATTACATAATTTTTTAATCCAAGCCAAGAAAATAAATATGGTCTCCGAAAAAGCGATTAATCGGATCCAGTATCGATGTTCTACTTACTTGAGTTCTCGGACAGGAATGGAGATTGACATGATGCAAACAGCAATTATCTTCAGTTGCAACTTCTGCACTAGGGCATTCAACGCTTTCACACCAATTCTTGGCTTGGGTCCAATTTCTGTTTATTTCGGTACATAATGAGGTAAAAATAAATCGAATTAATAGACTGATAGTCTATAAATTTATATGATATTCAAGACAGAGATTTAATTTCTAGATGAACATCGCCTAACTTATCCATCGCTAGCGAAATAATAAATAGTTTGCTTGCTGCAGTAGTTGCTTTGCAATACTTACCCTGGGTAAAATCCTCTATTTACAATATACTGATAAAATCCATCCGATGCCGTAATTCTGAAAGAGACATTAAATTCTTCTGCAGATCGAACTGAGTCAATACGAGCACCAAACCAGTTCATTCTCAAGCCTAATAACATCATTAAAGAGGGATTCAATATCGCTCATTGCAATAAACATGCAAGATTGATTTCGATTTCTATTGTACACGGAACATCTTGAAAATCTAAAAATAACTAACCATTACAAGGAATCATATTATACTCATTTGGACTTTGTAATGGCCAACAATCGTAGAGTTGGTTAGTTAAGGCATGCCATCCGAGACAAGGCGAAATAGTATACTAAAATTGGAATGAAGACAGAGAACTTCATTAAATTTACTGGCAACTCTTAATTTAACTAGCCATACGTTGTGAAATACTACGCAATTAATTGTATTTAATTTATGGAGCAATTGAATATATATAAATGTTGTCAATGTCAACTTCAAATGTCTATTTTCGTTTTCGATAAATTTTCATACCAATAAATAATTTATAGAAAAGTATAGCAGTATTTTAAGCTATCAGATAATATAAATAAGTAAATACTATTCCTATTGAATTCGCAGCATCTTTCATATATTATAATTCTGTTCTATTTCTTGATACTTGGTTCAAGTTTTTAACACAAAAAATAAACTAGAAATTTTATCACCTGTACCAGAAGGTTGCATTGAATAAATCAATTTTACATTCTTCTATACAATTTAAGATTCTTAACTGCAGAGATGAAACCAATAGCTACAAATTTGTTATGAAATCTGCTCATTGCTTAATATTTCATAGTAGAGTGGCCAAGCAGAATTTTTTTAACCTCAATCATAATCAATTCACTGGCATCACATTGTGAAGAATCAGCCTTTGAAAGTATAATATGAAGTAAAAAATAGTTACGCTATTTCTGTGCTCTAAGTTTTTAATTAATGATATTCTCATTCTGAGTACACTTTTGAAAGGATTTCATTTGACAGGCATCATTTAGTATAAACCGCATGTTTACATTTTGTTGACTATGTCATAAACAATATAACTTTGTTTTCACCTCCTTAAATATTTCATATAATCACGATTATTGATCTATCAGTTTTAATTTTGCTTTCATTTCACACCACATTGTTACGGCAAATTGAACTTATATCTTATTCATTAATACTGTTTCTATTATTGTGCCGCTTACTGTCCAACTTACGGAAATGAATTACTAATGTCACAAAACTCTCGAAAGTGCTAATATTACAGAATTAACTCGTGATATTTTAGGGCAATAATATACTGAAATGAAGGTATGGCTTTATCCTATTTTTATAAAATTAATTGATAGCACGCAACTCATATTTAACAGAAAAGTGGATTAAGACAACAATTTTAAATTTCTGTCATTTATACGACAACAAGAGTAAGCTAGAGTTCATCGCGGAATGAATCCTGTAATAATAGTTATGCCATTGTATTTTTCTTAGCTTGGCCATTAATGCAATAGATCTAAACTCATACTCTAATTATAGCCTGTCTCTATTAATGATGTGAAGTTAAACTATTAATGATATAAACTAGGTAAAGTTCTTACAATTTGATAAAATTTTAACATGTTTAAATGACACATTATAGTCAGTCATACAATCGTAGCTTCTGCAATTTTTAATTATAAGTAGCATGTCGTAACATAACGTGTACTTTGGCAATAATGGTATATCGGAAGCACGAAACGGGAACATAGCAGGAGAGACACTAGATATCTTAAATAAACTATGCGCATATTTAGATATTGGCAATGGGGTAGCTATATTCCCTTCATTTTTATTAAGATCGTAAATAAATCAGTTTGAAAATATAAAATAGGTCTTCAGCGCGTATTTATTACGGTTAGAAAATTATGAATTTTTGTAATGTTAGCATGTTGGAAAGGGCAAAAGGAGAACATAACAGAAGAAGTATTAAAGAAATTATACGTGCTTTTAAGCGTTTATGATGAGGTTAATTATATTCCCTTACGTTTTTATATTAAAATAAATCAATTTGAAAATATAAAAATTGCTCTTTAATTGACGCGTATCCTTTAATATTGGAAAATTAAAAATTCAAGGAACTATTTCAATATAGTATGTTTAATGGCAAAAATAGCACATCAAATCGAAGATTACCCTAACGTCTGTATTTTGCTGATGAAATGTGACAGAATTATTAAGTTTTGAAATAATAAAATAGCTGTTGACTTTAGAATATGGTTTCTTAGCGTCTTGAATAATCCATTATTTAGTATTTAATTTGATGATTGGTTTCAACTTAGCGAAGGCTTCATTTATAATTTATAGCAATCTTTGCCAAACTATTTAGGCCTACTATCATTATTTTCCGTTGATTTTCATACCCTCATACTAACAAGTTATTTCAAAACAAGACTTTGACTTTCGGCAAAGTTAGGATTGTAAGATGTACTGAATAACAGATCCGGCAGAACCAATGAATTGCATAGCATTAAGAATTATTATGCGCATAAATTATGAACTGGTAAGATATTGTAAATAGTTGGTTAGGGTTATGAGCGGCAAATTTTTATTAGCTACAGAAATTGTATCGTATCTTAAGGATCATCGAATATCACATTGTAACTTAAAATTTTAGTTTAGTAAGGAAATAAATCAAACTTTATAAAAAAATATATGTCAGTGTCTACGTTGTTAATAAAAATTTTACTATATTATATGAAGATATTACAATTTTTCGATCTTACATAATCATAAAAAATACTTATTTTAAATTTAAGATTGAAGTTCGATTTTAAGGATTTATATGTGTCGTACCGTTAGCATTATTAATAACATGTAGCAATTTAGAATTTCAATTCGATATGGAAACAGAGCTAATTTATAAAACTGGAGTATATCCGTGTTTTAGTACCACCAATAATCAATTTTAATAAATTAGATGTAGACATTGCTATCAATAGATCTTCTATATAGTGACAGCAACTATTCTTTTAAATTACTAAGGCTCAATTTCAAGGATACATATATATTTGACGTACTTTAAGTAGTATTTTTGCCTCAAAACTATCCGGAAAGTTGAATATTAGAGACCGAGGCATTGGCAGAACTTGAAATCAAATGTATAGAGTATTTTGTACTTCCGGAATACTTAGAACACACTCTTAGGATGTATCTGTACTCTTACCTACTTTTCATTAAATTAGTATGATCGATATTTTAAAGATATACAGGAATTTCTAACGTATTTAAAAAATATTTAGATTACGTATGTTAGATTATCCAGTTCAAATCCCTAACTGGATACGTCAGGGTAATTTCATGATGTTGTTAAGAGCATCTTGTACAAACTAAAGGCGAATATGTGATATACAACAGATTTGCCTCGAAACAGATTCAACTAGATGCCCATTGATTTCTTACAAATGCAGAATATTCACAATCCTTGACTACTATCAGTATTAGCATCCAATTAGTAAGCATTCTTTTATCACAACTACTTCCGATCCTAATAATTAAACAATTACAAGTAAATGTCGCATGACTTGACGATATTATATAGCTACTCTTGTTGATTAAAAGAATTTCAACAAAGAGACCACCTGCATCTGTGATCTAATTTACTTTACTGTTATCTATATAGATATAATTACTGTTTTCACGTTCCATAATATATTATTTCCTTTCTTTAATTTACCGTAGTCTATTCAATTACCAATCGGCAACATTGATCACGTCATTATGTCATTAAATCAAGTGGAACACTTTTCACTCGATTGGTATCGACAGATATTGAATCATACTTTGAATGTATGGACAGATTCAATGCGAAGTATTGTACTTGTCTCACCATGCGAAGATTGACTAAACTTCAAATTAGTGCAGCTGTTGGTTATAGTAATGTCAAATAGTTATTGAGAATAGAAAGCTCTATCCTCGACGTTAGTACCTGCATGTTGCTAAAAGTATAAAAAATTTTTGCATCTTTTAATATCACATCAAGTTATGAGTAAATAACTCGAATTAAGTGATCCACTCAGATTTACTTTTGGCTAGTATGATAGCTAGCCAGTAGCAAAGCATGGTTTTCTATTTATCTTTTGCCCAATATTGTATTGAAAATTAATTTGAAATCAGTAAAACTTTCAAGCTACTCAGATTAGAATACCATTTACAACGGTATTTAAACTTTTGTTGAAATTAATCAGATGCGGAGTTTATCTTTGGATTATAGTTGTACAAATTTAGTATAAATTAAAGTAAATTTTTTAGATGATTAAATAATACACTAAAATTATAGTAGTATGATAAAGAAGCGGAAGATAAGGATTGATCTATAGTATCTTCAGTTGATATGGAACGTTTGAAAATGATTTATGTGATGGTATTTCGATTGAGATGGCTCGATGTGACGACGTCTTCAAAAGTAAAATAAATAATTTGGAATAGATTGTTGATATTGATCTCTATTTTAAAGATTAGTAATGCTTTCATTACCTTTCATTGCTTTAAGGCACACCCGTTTATAGTGATATAAACTCGTACAGTTTGTTGATAAACTTTAGGTTAACACTAATTAGATCAGATACCACTATCGTTTGATCTATGTAGCCCAAGATCATAGTGAAGAATACTCTTTTTGCTCATGATTTAATTAGGTATTATTCTCTTCATAAACGAATGTAATCTCGCTAATACGATTTACCTATGTTTATTGCTTGGTATACAGCACACTCATACGAAACAATGTTAAAAGCTACTTTTTTAAGCTATGTCTTCCACATTGCCCAAATAATTTAGAAAAGTAGGACTAACACGGAAAGATCTACGATACTTGATATCAGATAGAACGTCTATTGATAGAGTTAGCGTTACAAGAAAGAAATTCTACTATCCCCTCATTACTTTTTTTTAATTCGTTTAAAAATTGTAGAAAGAAGAAAACGATTCATCATTCAGGGAAGAATTAAATAAAAAATGCAAGTGCCGTCGTGTTTCATAGCGACATTGGACCTAATCTTTCAATTGATTCCATTTGCTTTATCATTTGAGTTCAATTATAATGATTTAGGTTAATTTATAACCAGTCCATTTTTTAACAGAGAAAAGGAAAAAGGTAAATGAATTAATTGTATTGAGATTCTGCCATTTCAATAAAATTATTTTAAAGATCCAACAACAACAATATCATCAACAGTAGTCAATTATCTTAGCATAAGTAACCTTGCTCAAAATAATCTCACAGTTATCCTTTGCTAGATCACAGTGTTGTTATTAATGATGCTAAACTAGTGCTGTTATCAATCTGTGATGACTAACAAATACTTTATTGGTGATCAACTCAATCATTTGTAACTTAAAATAGAATAGAGTGGATAATTTAAGTGCTTTGTATTGTTATTAGCGTAAGTTGATCACACTATCACTATGTGTAAAAATGATTTCAAAACTCGCGACAGCATGTTAAACAGCAGTCGATTATAATGATCACAAGTAGCTTCTTCAAGACAATATCCAATTTGATCATATTTGGCCCATGATGTTATTTTTACGGTAGCAATATCCAACTGACAATCCGAATTGGATTTAGATTGGGAAGAAGCAGCGGTAATAAAATACTATCCTATATTCGCTCAAATAGAGGACCGAATGTTTGTTCAACAGAATCGATAAAAGCATAATTTCAATGTTCTATCCTAGTTTTGATATAACTTTCAAGCGTAAAGAATCATCTTTCGCCTCAATTTGAAGAGTAAGATAAGGCACAGACTACAAGAAAAAAGGCTTCTTCTAATATAGTCCGTAAATAAGGTCTATAATTAATTATAATTTGCCAACTTTATCTCGAAATTGATTGATTATAAATGATGGGTGCAATACAAGAATCAACTTTCACCTCGATTTCAGGTGTAGGATAAGATCAAGGGAAAGTAACGATATGCCACTGTAAGATCAATAATTTGGCGACTTGATATTGAGATTGATTGCATAGAAGCAAGGACAATTTCAAAGGCTCGTAGCGGCTTTTTTTCAATTTTAGTTAAATTACAAATAATAACGAAAAAGGAATAGCTGTACTTCGAATTTAGTATCGTTCCATCTTCAAATTGAAAATCATTTCAATTACGAGCATATCTACAGCCGATACAGTCTGTATTAGCAACCATCTAAAATTCATCTACACGCAAATATGGGATAACTTAAACAACTTCCAAATTATAATTATACTAATGCAGAGTCATAGGAAGACGATTAAGAATCGATCTAGAATATGCTATTGAGATTTTAGACGGATTGTTCCTAATATTGGATAAATTGCAGATTCAGAAATTAGGATGTAATAGATATCTGGCAGTGGTATGTTTAAACGGATCATTTTCTTAACTGAAGTTAATCGCTACTTTTACACTATCGAAGAAATCCCAAACTCGATTTAAAGCAAACCGTGATTTAGAAATATTAAGTCGTACCCTCTTGTCAAATTATTTGCTCAAACGGAATTACTAATCAAACCAAGACTATAAAAATGCCACAAAATTGATGCGTATATTGTTGTACTGGATAAAAACTATATTGGTAACAATAAAAATCGTTGATGATATTATCGATAACACAATAT